TTTAGTGTCCCTCCTCCCTCCCCCTCTGGTGACCTCAATTCTATGGTCAAATTTCTAAAGTTTGTTATTGGTTCGATTTAACTGGTCCTTTGTTTTGTTTCTCTGTATTCCACATTTAAGCAACACCATCCAGGATTTGTCTTTCTCTTAATAATTTATTGTGCTTATTATTCAAGTGACAAGAGTCTATATTTTTTTAATAGCTGAGTAATATTTCATTGTGTGTATATACTGCATCTTCCTAATCCACTCATATGTCTTTGGGCACTTAGGTTGTATACAAAGCTTGGTTATTGTAAATAATGCTCCCATAAACATAGGTGTGCACCTGTCCCTTCATATTCATGTTTCTGTATTCTTCAGGTAGATAACTAGGTGTGGAATTGCTGGATCATATGGTAGATCTGTGTTTCTAATATTTTAAGAAATCTCTGTACTGTTTTCCATAGGGGCTGGACCAGTCACCATTCCCAGCAACGGTGTAAGAGGGTTCTTTTTTCTCTACATCCGTGCCAACATTAATTGTTTCTGGACTTTTTGATATGGGCCATTTTGACAGGTGTGAGGTGGTATCTCATTGTGGTTTTGATTTGCATTTCTCTGATGATAAGTGATAATAATAATTTTTTTTCATGTCCCTGTTGGCCTCCTGTAGTTCTTTTTTGGACAAGTGCTTTTTTAGCTCTTCTGCCCCATTTTTTTTCCTCCCATTCAGTAGGGTGTCTTTTTGTTTCAGTGAGTTTCTTTTGCTATAAGAAGCTTTTCAGTTTGATGTATATATATATATATATATATATTTTTTTTTTTCCTTGCTGCTAGGAACAAATCTGCAAAGACTTTTTTTTTAAAGATTTATTTTATTTTATGCGTACAAGAGCTGGGGTACAGGCCAGAGGTGTGAGGGGTGAGAGGAATCACCAGAAACAGAGTGTGGAACAGAACAGGCAGATTGACCAAAGTACACTGCTGAGAGGAGCAGCGGGTGAGTCAGGAAAGGTCTGCTGTGCCATGTGGTTTGCTCCCTGGCCGGCTGGGGAATCGAACTGTGCTGCAGTGGCTGTGGACAGTTTCATAGTGCTGTGACTTAACACCTTGTGCCACCAGGGAAGCCCTGCAAAGACATTTTTGAAGCTTATGTTGTGGAGTTTTTTGTCTATGTTTTCTTCAACATATTTTACAGTTGCAGGTTTTACATACAAGTCTTTTATCCATTTAATGTTGACTTTTTTGTATGGTGTAAGCTAATGATCTAGTTTCATTCTTTTGCATGCAGCTGTCCAATTTTCCCAGCACCATTAATTGAAGAAGCTTTCCTTTTTCCGGTGCATATTCTTAGCTTCTTTGTCATAGATCAACTGCTCATATATGTGTAGGTTTATTTCTGGGTTCTTGATTTTATTCCATTAGTCTGTGCATCTATTTTTGTTCCAGTGCCATGCTGTTTTAATGATTATGGCTTTATAATATAGTTTGAAGTCTGAAGGGTGATACCACCATTAACCCTCTTTTTTTGGTCAGGGTAGTTTTGGCTGTTAGGGGTCTTTCATTCATATCAGCTTTTTTTTTTTTTTTTGTATTGCTATCATTCTAACATCAGGTGGTCACAATTGACCAATACTATCTTACATTTCACCTGTGGCTTCTGTATGATTTATCGTTTTCCTTTCTATCCTGCACAGTGCTAGAAGCATTGTAATTGCTATGTAATTACATAAGTGAAAAGCTTCTGGAAGGATTACAGTAGTGTAAATAATTTAATACAATAAGTAACCCTGATGTTCATCATCTATTACTTTTGACTACTTTCTTTTTGCCAGAGATTTATCTTTTTGATAAGATTTCTAAGAGTGATATTGACATCAATTATTTTTTGAACACTCAGTGGCCATATAGTCAAGGACCAGCAGGAAGAACTATTTGAAGCCTATTGGAGCAATTGGACTTTTATGCACTTCTTCTCTCTGTTAATTCTCTTCTCTCCCTTCCACTGGACTGAGGTCCTAGAAGGCAAGAAAATGTCTTTGGCAAAGCTTGGCTCATAAGGTGCTCACTCAGTATTTGACCTAGTGCCTAATATTTCTTAACTCTGTTTCTGAGAAAATAACCTCTTCTTCCTTCAATACAGTGTTTCTCACACCAGAGGCCAGAGGTCTGTGCAGGGGAGGAATTTCCATGACATTATTCTCAGGGTTCTATCACATTTCATATGCCCTTTTCAATTTATTGAGTGGAAAGATATTGTGAATCATCAGGATGGAATGTGTTAGCCACATTGACCCACTAAGTGAAGGGGTCAAATCTAAATTGCTCAGATTTGCCCACCCAAGTTCTATTCCTATTCTCAGAGGTCTGTAGGTTCATGTTGGAAGATGCTAAGTCACAGTTAAGATGTTTTCTTTTTGGAAATGTCTCCCCCAATGCTCCTCCTCAGGTGCCTCCATAGCATTTACCACTCCTTCTGTGATGATGTGTTATGGGATATCCCCTCTGGCTCTCTGAACCCCTCTTCCTGGAGGTTGTCCTCTACTTCCATAATACTTTTTACACTCACAGTATAGCATGCACCAAGCTACTAAATAAGTCAGTTGCTCCTACTGGACAATATTTGAAGTTCAGACACCCTATTCTCTTGTCTCCCCTCACCCAGCACAATTGCTCAGCACAATAAGTTCAATTCAGTAAGTTGGTCAGATCGAAAAAAGAGGTAACTATGGCAAGGGCCAGGTAAACCTATTTTTAAAGTCTTCTAATTTATTTTTTTGAAATAAGACTCATGGTGGCCATTGAGTTTTCATTTTCAAAAGAGTTTTTTCCCCCAATGTTTTCATACAGATATTTTTACCTGTATTTGTCTTTAAATATGCTAAATGTGGTTGTTCTCTGTGTCTGATTTGACAGACTTGGCCCTCTGCTGTTTCTAACTTGAATGTTTCATGTTACTTGGTTTTTCTGTGGGCTTGGTTATGTTTTACTGCCAATCAATGTGGTTCACAGAGTTATTTGTTAGTGTCCAAGTGCTAGGATGCACCTCTGGAGAGGGTGTGTGTGTTTGCTGGGTGACAAGGTGAAATTCCATTCCAGAGCCCTGAGATAAGCAGGGTTTAACATTCCTGAGTTCACCCAGATGGGAAGCCCAGATGACTGACTTGTGACCATCCATTCTCAGGAGGGTCTGTTTTTCAATTTCCTTTTTCTTGGAACCACTCTGGCCTTTTTTGTAGTCCTCTCGGTTTCAGGGCAGGAAGTTTTGAGGTAGTAGTAGCTCTTTGAGGCTCCCTCCTACACACGAACACCATCTGCTCTCAGTCTGCTCTTGGGTTTTAGGCATAAGGTCTTCGTACCCTTGTTCCCCTTTTTTGGGGCCACAGACTGAAGCGTAATGACCATGAAAGTGAAGGGCTCCTACTTCTCCAGGTTCCCTGAGGACCGGCCTGGGAGTTTCTTGCCCTCTTATAACTTTTCAGTCTAGGTAATTCAGAAGGTCTTTGGTACTTTTAGATACTTAGTACTTAACTCTTTAGTATTTTATAGGTGCTTTCTTCACCTCCCTCAGAAAAGAAGCATGTGTTGGGCCTCCCTGGTGGCGCAAGGGGTTGGGCACCACACTATGAAGCAATATGCAGCACGAGTTTAATTCCCGGCCAGCCAGGGAGAAACCCACATGGCGCAGCAGGCCTCTCCTGACTTGGCCACTGCTCCCCTCAGCAGTGTATTTCAGTCAGTCTGCCTGTTCTGTTCCCCACTCTGTCTCTGGTGAATCCTCTCACCCTCCTGCACATCTGGCCTGTACCCCGGTTCTTGTATAAATAAATAAATCTTTAAAATAAACAAATAAATTAACACCAAGACACATCTGGTTACACGAAACAGAAATCTAATTCAAAATGGCTCAAGGCCCTAAGGATATTTATTGGTTCTGAAATTCTTGGGATAGATGACTTCCTGAAGCTGGACCCAGGGACTCGACATTATTATTGGGCTTAGTATCTATTTTTTATCTGCTCTTCTGTGCTAGTTCTCCTCTCTGTGGTGCCACCCTTTGTGGAGATGGCTTCTGTGAAGCCCAGACTCACACATTATGCTTTTAATTGTGATCACTAAACTTTGTTGATTATGTATCCGAGGGTAAAAGTGAAGTCTATATCCCCAATATATGTGTATTTATTGATAAATTGTTATTATATATACCATTGTTATTTTATGTTATATAAAATATTTAATAGAATTCACCTTTTTAATTTTTAACTATAAAGAATAAAATAGGAGTATTCATATTTCTTATATTCCAGTGAATTGCTTTACATATCCTATTTGGGGGACTACTTAGTGGGAAGACCACATCTTTCTCTCCCATCAGTTAACAATCACTGTCCTGTGAACACATCTCATGGGTTAGTCTTAGTCTAACTCAAGTCACATATCTATTCCTCAGTCCAGTTCCCTTGAATTAGTAAAAGCAAAGTTTTATTAATATAAAGTGATACAAGTGTCTGACTAAGTGTGGAGAGATCCTATTTTAACTTTATAAGCACTCATTTATTTTGCCACCCAAATGGGACATAATTCTTCTTTCAGTTCAGAGTTAGAGAACAAAGACTCTCTATTTCTGTAATAATAATTGCATTCCACCAATCTATACTAAATTTCTGTGATTTCACACCAGGAATAACATGAAAGTATCCTGTCTAGTTTTTGTTAATACTCCAGTGACAGGTGAATGCAGTAGATTAGGATGCAGGAATTGGTGACTCTTGCGAATAATACCCAATTGTGACAATTTTTGAGTAAGACCATTTTGAACAAAATGGGTAGCTGTGTGGAAAGGCAAGTGATAGAGGGTCCTGAATAATTTTCAGATTTCTGAAGAGAAAAGGAGTTTACTGGTTAGACAGAAAATTTTGTTGTGAGAACAGGTAAAGAATGTGAACAGAAAATTCTCTTTAGGCACTTTCTGAGGGACAGGTTGTTTTGTGTATTTAACAATTGATCTTCTGTGGCAGAAATACAAAGCTTCACATGGATTCTGAGGTGAAAGAAGAATGTCTAAGGCAAGACCTGCAGTTTTACTTCATGAGCCCTTGTGAAAAATACCGAGCCAGACACCAGATTCCATGGAAACTGGGTTTGCAGATTTTGAAGATTGTCATGGTCACCACACAGGTAACTCACATTACCAGTTGGCTTGGTTTGTGCCTCACCCCAGGATGAAACTGTTTTGTCACACATTCTGTCCAGTCCTTCTGACACGTGACTTTTGTTTTGAAAAGTCCATACATAAGTTCATAAAGCTGTAAGTTATATTGGCTCTGTTGGCATATGGTAGGTTGAAGTTCAGTTTAAATGACCTTGTTTCCATCAGGGATTATGAAATCATCTCTCCCGGGTTTGGTAAATAGAGATTAGTCATAGATCTGCATTTGGGGGGAGTGGGTTCTTATATCTGAATGAGCACATAGATTGGCAACTGCTCAATTCCAAGTGATTTGTATTCTTGGAACCTCTCATCTTTAAGAATAAGATACGCCTGATTTAAATACACTTTGAAAGCTGTGTTTTTGACTATTTTGGGGACGCTGTTTCCCTTTCATCAGAAGCTAAGGGCTCTGAGTAAATGCTGACTTTTCTAGGCACAATCAGGAGTCTACAAGATGACATTGGAATCTTTTGTTTACGTTCCTGTTGTGGAACACAATGTCACCCGCGTCACAACAGCCATCAGAGTTGTCTGCTTTTTGGGCCTGTGGGACTGAGCTAGTTTCCAGAGGTTCCACTCTACATAACTACCTTTGAAATACGTGCCCTTTTAATAACAGGACTGATGGGGAGTATCTGGTATATACACCCCATAAGGTATATAATAGTATATTAGTAGTGGCAAGTAATCATTCTGTTACCTGTGTCAAAATGTTTGTAAAGTATCCTGCCTGGAACCTCTCATCTTTATTCAGCTATACCTTATTTAAATACATAATTAGATATCGCTCTAAAAATGCTTCCATATGATTTTAGAAAAGAGAGGAGTTTCCTGCCAGAACTAAACTTGCACCTTTAGTCTGTGCTCATAAAGAGGTCTTTTCATTGATGACATGCTGTACCAGTTCATGAAGTTTTAGGGTAAGCAAGTTACTTCTAAAGAAACAATAAAGTTGAGATGCAGATCTAGTAAGCTGGTTTTTTAAAAAATTTATTTTAATTCTTGTTGTGAAGTCTTAATTTTGGCAACCTGTAAAGTCAGGTGCATTTTTAGTATTGCTTGGAAGAAGAAGTAATGCCCTCCTTTGTCATTTGGTTAATTTAAATTCTTTCCAGATTTCTTTGCTTGGCCAAGCCAACTTGTGTTTCAACTTTTTAAATCTGTTTTATTATCGCTAATTGGTTTTATTATTATTTATCTTATGTTACATTATTTTATTGTGATAATGTTGGTTTACAACTTTATACATATTTTAGGGACACAAATTCACACCTCTCAAGTGTATGCTATCACACCAGCAAAGCACCAGTAATCCTCCACCTTAGTCCATGCTTACTTGTTAATTGTTTTTTAAATATTTATTTATATGTGCATACAAGAACTGGGGTGCAGACCAGAGGTGTGGGTTGGGGGTGTGAGAGAATTCACCAGAGAGAGTGGGGAGCAGAACAGGCAAATCTACTGAAATACACTACTGAGGACTGAGGGCAGCAGCAGTCGAGACAGGAGAGGTCTGTGCCATGTGGGTTGCTCCCCGGCCTATGGGGAATCGAACTCACACTATAGTGGCTGGGGATAGCTTGATAGCACTGTCTTTAACCCCTGTGCCACCAGGGAGGCCCTACTTGTTAATGTTAAAATTTTCATTTACCTAGGCATACAACATGATTCCCATCATCTTTGACTTGTCTTCTTTGCCCTGATATCCACCAAATCCTATGAACTCTTTGTTCAAGACTGTGTCTGTTTACCATACTCATTATCTTATTTCAAGTGCAGACTCTTATCTCATTAGTTAATTAAAAGGATGTGCAAGGCATCTCAGATGCTGTCATCCTTTTGGGAATATAGCTGTGGTGACATTACTGTTAATGACAGCTAACACCTAACATAGAACATGGCAGGTTCAAGGCATAACACGTTTTTAATATTTACTCATTTCAGCTTCACTGCCATCCTCATCACCTTTTTGTGGATGAGGAAACTGGGCCAAAGAGAGTTCAGTAATTTGCCTCTGGTCTTTTAATTGGTTAAGTGGCAGAGCTGGAATTTGTATCCTACGGTCGGGCTCTGAGGTCTGTACTCTTGTTTTCATATTGTTTCTGCTCCACATATTGGTCCTGTCCTTCCAATGTGCAGTCTGGAAATACAGATAAGTTAACCAGGCTGCTTTTGGTCTTTATCTTATGCCTTGCCTCTCTGTTCATACACATATCAGTCCTTTCAGTACCAGTATCTGATTAATTCTTCTTAGACTGCTTTTATTATATGGCTTTTCTGCTCAGAAAATTCTGTAAAACCCTACATCCTTCAGAAGAAAATTTTGACTCTCTAGCCTGGCAGATTCCCATAGTCTCCTTTTGGTGTGTATTTCCAGTGGCATTTCATCTACCAGCTCCCATCCAATCCCTCACCAGCTGCTGTGATCAGATGGGGTGAGGCACTTAATCTACTACATCCTACTCAGACACCTGCCAGATGGACTCACCCAGTTCTCATTGTCCTGTTTGTTTCTCCAAGTCCAACGTGATTCTTTTTCAGCTCTATCTCACAGGTGCCCTTTGAAGTCCACCTTACCCAGCTGCCTTGCCTGGCCACTCAACACATGTATCACACATTTTATTGTTTTTTAAAAAGATTTATGTTTATTTATTTATGCATATAAGAACTGGGGTGCAGGCCAGAGGTGTGTGTGGGGGTGTGAGAGGATTCACCAGAGACAGTGAGGAGCAAAGCAGGCAGATCTACTGAAACACACTGCTGAGGGGAGCAGCGGGTGACACAGGAGAGGTCTGCTGCACCATGTGGGTTAGCTGCCTGGCGGGGGACTGAACTCATGCTGCAGTGGGCTAGTGATAGCTTGATAGCACTGAGACTAACCCCTGAACCACCAGGGAGGCCCACAAATTTTATTTTTAATAGAATACACTTGGGGATTGATCAGTTTACTCTTTGTGTGGGTGTACTAAAATTGGGAGAAATTAAACTTTTGTTCCCCTGTATGGTCATTCTGATAAGTTTTACTTCCTTGGGTGATAATCTGTCTGGGGCAGAATTCTCAAATACCTTTCCTTGCTTAAAATCCCAATTTTCCCTCCTCTTCTGTTTCTGTCTCTTTAGCATTCCACCCTCAATTTAATGCGATGGGTGGTATTTTATCAGGGTTGTTGAGAAGGAAACTGTTTTTTAGATATTCTACTCTGCATTCTGCAGTAATTTATGATCTTGAAAGAACTGTCTCTATTCTCTTGCCAGTTCTATCCATTCCCTCCCATATTCTTTGTGCATTAGAGTGATATCTTGTTTTTACTTGGCACAGAATATTTCCTCCTATGTTGATTTTATAATCACATTTTAAATTCACAATCTTTGCTAGGCTGCACTTACTGTTTAATTAGTTTTCTGTTGTATATTCTCAGCAAATCTTAAGACTGGTTAGTTGGTCTAGAATGTATTTTTCTGACAATTCCTTTTAAAAATAAAACCACTTGACCAATCCCATCATCTCCTTACTCTTGCTCAGTAGGATTTTAATTCCACCATGGCATGAAGGGAGGGCTTCATGATGTCTCTCCAGGGTTTTCTTTTCCCTATTAAGAGGTGCTTTGAAGATCTCAACATTTAGCTGATGCTGGGCCATACACATGCATCTTGATTGGTTCTTTAAACAGTTCAATGTAGGAAATTTCTTGTTCTTGATGTCAGATGCAGGTGGTTCCAAGAAAAGATTACAGCTCCTTGTGCTCTCATTTCTTTTTTTTAAAGATTTATTTATTTATGCATGCAAAAGCTGGGGTGCAGGCCAGAGGTGTGGGATGTGAGAGGATTCACCAGAGTGGGGAGCAGAATAGGCAGATCTACTGAAATACACTGCTGAAGGCAGCAGCAGTTGAGACAGGAGAGGTCTGCTGTGCCATGTGGGTCAGCTCCCTGGCCAGGGATCGACCTCATGCTACAGTAGCTGCGGATTTCTTCATAGTGCTGATGCTTAACCCCTTGTGCCACCAGGGCAGCCCCCTTGTGATCTCATTTCAAAGTTGGTTTATGAGCTTTGAATTTAAATAAGGTGGTAGCTTAAAATATCTGCCAATTGTATGACACGTTCTTGTTCAAGTTATCCATTGCCCATTCAGATTTTCTGTGTCTCTTTAATTTAACAAGGAGCATAGGAAGAATATAATATAATAGGTCTTATATCCTCATGTCAGAGTTAAGTTCACATTTAAGTTTGAAAGATAATATAGCCAAGTGGTCAAACCTGGTTGAGATCCTTGTGATGCTTTTTAACTATTCCAACTTGGAACAGCTTGTTACTTGACTTCAGGTTGCACAAGTATAAAGTGGGATTATATTCATCAGCTGATTCAGTATTTCACCCTGACATTGTGATTGGCATGAGGCTAGTTCCTTAGTATGTAGTAATGGGGAAAAATGAAGAAAAAAAAAAAAAAACCCTGTCTTTGTGGAGCCCAATATAGTACTTCCCTCATAGGGTGTTGGGGGAGTAAATGAAAAATAGAAATGATAAATTTTAGACAGAGTAGCTGGCACTCAGTAGATAAGGTTTAGTATTCAACATGACACTGTGTTGATCTTGCCCTATACCACAATGGGGCACAGAGAAAGCACTCAGTGAATTTTGAGTGAAGAACTTAATTCATGTGTGTGTACCAGTTTTTTCATTTGTGTGCCAGTATTTAATAAAACCTTGACATAATCATGCATGTGTTGCTTTCCTGGCTTACTTTTTCAGCTTTTAAGAAGCATCCTGGCCTTTTCAACCACCTCTCATGGGCACCATTCACAGATATCACATGTTGGGAAGAACCTTTAGCCTCAGTTGCTTGATTTTCAGCACAGGTTAAATGATGTGGGACTTCAGATATTTCCCCTGGAATAGCTGGGTTTAGCAATTGCTCAGTTCTTTGACTTATTATTTGAGGAACATGACATGGTGAAACTCAAATGCTAAAGAGTATCATTGATGCATGTTCTCAAACAATAACAATTTTGGAAGTTAAACCTTTTCTGTAAAAAGAATCCGAAAGGCAAATTTCTCAGCAGAAGGAAATTGTAGTATAATAAAAAAAAATGACTTTGGAGTAAAACTTGACTTTCATCCTAATTAAGTGGGTTAGGCAGTTTGATGAAGTTAAATCTCAGTAAAAACATATGCAAAGTGAGATAACTAGCAATATTTTCATCAGGTGATTATGTTAATAAATGAGATAATGCATAGAAAGCCGTTTGTGAAGTGTCTAGAGTATAATTGCGAAAAATTGAAGTGCTTGCTTTTAATTATTTAGCCTTTTTAAACAATGAAATGAGATTTAAAGTCTAAAAAAAGAGTCCATATTTTAAAAAGTATGTCAGTTCACCTATACAAATTAATATTTGTTTCATCTGAAAGTTTCAACAGTTAATGTCTTGTTTAGTGTCACACAGCAAATCATGTGGAACCATGGAATGACTGCAAATAACAAATGTTAGTCGTCTAGTCGAACTTGCTAATTTTACACATGATAAAACAGATTCAAATTATTTTGGTAACAGTGGCATGAAGATATGGGGCAAATTTTCTCTATTCATATGGTTTTATAAAGCAAATGAGATAAAGTGAGCAGGTGAAGGTTGTATGGGACTTACAGAAGTTTAACTTGTCCTTCACCATACCACTGCTCTGTGTGTGTGTGTGTGTGTGTGTGTGTGTGTGTGTGTGTGTGGGGTGTGTGAGAGAGAGAGAGAGAGAGAGAGAGAGAGGAGAGAGAGAGAGAGAGAGAGAGAGAGAGAGAGAGAGAGAAGGGGGAAACTGTGTGTTACAATTTCCTGGGTTTTTTGTTTTGGTGAACATTTAGTGCCTGCTAATTTCCCCACTTATTGGGTTCCAAGAAGAAGCAAAAAGAATACTTGCACTTCTGGTTACTACAGAAAGCCCTCGGGTGCCTAAACTTTCACTGGGGTACAATGTAAGGGAGAATAAGTAGGAAAAGGTAGATGCTTGGTAACAAATGGGTTTGATCTCCTGTTATTCTTTCAGTACTTGGATGCTGTAGATCTGTAGTGGGATGGATGAGGGGAAGGATGCAGGTTTAAATCTTCTGTAAGAGTTTTTTCCAGAACTAGCATTGAATTCCTTCGGCAACTATTAATCCTAACTGCAGTGAGCATTGCATAGGTCACTTTTCAAAAACATTCTTCAAAGCCACTTGGCAAAACATAGTTGTGATTTTTTTTAATTACCTATAATCTCAATGTGTTAAGTCACTAAAATATGAATATTGCTTTACTAAGTACACCAATTTTTAAAATAATTAATTTGAAATCCAAGTAGAAGAAAAATGCATTTGCACTTAACTGATTTGGATTCTTCTTCCCCCATCCCCTTCAAATGTCATTAAAGGACAGAAGAGCTATTTGGCACTGTGTGGTAATTTCTTCTGACTTTATGATATTTTGAATTACTGATGTAGCTTAATGAGATTAATCTTTATGACTTGTATTTTTGTCATTGTGGCTATTAGTAAAAACTAAAGATGTGAGATTTTTACTTCTGATGTTTATAGCTGAGGGTTGATAATAATGAAGTATTTGCCTCCCATAGTAGATGGTAAAATTTATATGTTCCTATTTGATTTTCTTTTCTAGCTTGTTCGTTTTGGTTTAAGTAACCAGCTGGTGGTTGCTTTCAAAGAAGAAAACACAGTTGCTTTTAAGCACTTGTTTTTGAGAGGATATTCTGGCATAGATGAAGATGACTATAGCTGTAGCATATATACTCAGAAGGACGCCTATGAGAGCATCTTTTTTGCTATTAATCAGGCAAGTGATATTTTTTATGAATGACTATATATACTTTATACCTTTATTGGCACTTGACCTCATTGTCTGAGCAAAAAATATATATACATACTGAAATATTGTAAGGTAAGTTTTGCATCATTTCACTAAAATGTTTGATTATTATTTCTGTGACTATAGATGTTTGCCATGCAATAGATTTTGTCTGTTTTTCAAGATTTATATATATATATATATTATATATCTATTATTTTTGCATAGAAGAACTGGGGTGTTGGCCAGAGGTGTGGGGGGCGGGGAGCGGTGAGAAGATTCACCAGAGACAGAATGGGGAGTAGAACAGGTGGACCTACTGAAATACACTGCTGAGGGAAGCAGTGGGTGAGACAGGAGAGGTCTGCTGCGCCATGTGGGTCACTTCCCTGGCTGGGTTTGAACTCAGGCAGTAGCAGTGATAGTGCTGAGATTTAAGCCCTAGGCCACCAGGGAGACCCCAAGATTTATATTTTTAACTTATTCTTTCATACCCACTACTGTTGGGAGATTACTTTACCCCCAGGTCACATAGCCAAGAACAGATTTATAATCTCAGAAGATTTGATAAATGAGTTGTCACATGTTAAGTTCTAGGTTCTTAATTTTGAGGTTTTAGCATTAACATGTCTAGCAGAATCTTACACATATGGAGGCTATTACAATATAGTTATGTTTAGGAAGATATGGATGAGCCTCATCCATAGGCCTGATGAGAGAATTTATGGGAGAGAAATTGCTGTTCTTTCTTTCTCATTAATTCATTCATCCATTCAGTAAACATTTGGGTGCTCCTATTACCACACACTGAACTAGACATTGAGGCTACAATGTAAATAAACAGACAAAAACCCTGCCCTTATATAACTTAATTCTGGAGGAGAAATCCAAATAAGTGAGAACTATAAATGAAATGTATAGTTTCAATACTGGCTCCCTGAAAACACTTCCAAAAAATCCCACATCCACGAGCAAAGCTGAGCTTATTGCCTACAGCTGAAAGGGAGATGCTGTCTTGGCAATTCTCTGTAGAATCTGGGTAAAGACAGCAAAGTCCAGGACAGATTTTGAAGTCTGATTTAAGGTGCATCTTGCCATGTGAGGAGAACTTAAGTACAGTTGGATAAAGGATAGCAGTTTAATGAATAGTAGCTTAGTCGTTTAATGAGGTTAATCTTTGGGACTTGTATCTTTACATTTGTGCCGTTAGTAAAAACTAAAGGTGAGGGTTTTGTGAGCGGTAGTTTCAGAGTCTGAGTTTTTGGACTGAATCATCAATTTAATTATCTGTTTAAGTGATTTTTTTTGTGTGTTTCTGAAAGAAATGGTACAGTCATTTTGCAACTTTAATGTTCCCGGGGGAAAAAGTTTCCTGGCATAATGAAGTCCTTTTAATGAAGCCCTGTTAGTGCAGATAGGTAAACAGTAGCCTTGTGTTAATGGTAAGGTCATAAAATCTGCAAGTTAATGTAAGCTACTGTGAGTTGAGTCAGCTAAATAAATCTGTTAATGTAAGCTGTGGGGTGTGGATGGCTTGGGCCTTCAGCTGTATATCAGAAAATAGTAACTGCTATGCAATAAAGCAGGGGAGTTGATGAGAAGTGCCTGGTGGTGCCTGGGTCCTGGCGGTGGATGTTTGCTACTTCCACTGGGAGGTACGGGAAGGCCTCTTGATGTGGTCATGTTTGTGTCAGGACCTGAAACTGGGAACCTGGCAGAGAGATAACCAGGGGTTCCCGGCAGAGGGAACAGCAAAGGCCACAGGCAGGGGTGTGCCTGGCAAGCTCTAGGAACTGCCTGGGCAGGGTGGGTGCACGCAGATCCAGAGGGCAGTAGTAGACACTGAGGTCTGAGAGATAGGCAGGATCTCAGCTCTAGCTCTGAGTGAGGTGGGAGTGTCTGACAGCAAGTTTATTTTACTTTAGCGTTTTAGAGACAGGGAGCCTTTGCCCAACCTGAGAAAATTGCTCCATGGCATTCTAGCTGGGGGATAATTCATAAACAATGAAAGTAGCTAAATGTATATTCCTTATGCTATTACTCCTGATAAATCTCTAAAAAGCTCACGAGTGTTTTTGTTTTAATTACTTTTAATAGTATCATCGTCTCAAGAACATATCTCTGGGGAACCTTGATTATGGAGAAAATGAAGACAATAGAATTGGTTTAAAAGTCTGTAAGCAGCATTACAAGAAAGGGACCATGTTTCCTTCGAATGAGACACTGAATATTGACAGCGACTTTGAAGTAGGTAATGCAGTGATTATTTTATTATATTCCTCTGTCATCTTCTGTGGAGAAGAACAAAAATGTCCTCATTTGGGGCAACCAAATGCAGCAACTAGCTTTTGGGACGGCTGACCTCTGTGAGGCCATCACTTCTGCCTTTGCCTATAGAGGACCTTGACTCAGGAAACTGGGTCTTCGTGATAGGCCCTGGGAGTTCTTGAGTCAGAGAGCAATGTTGGTTTTGAGATTAACAGGTGTTTTCTGTTAATGTAGGTCTTTTCTTCTGTAAGAGCATAATTAGGCTTTTTGAAATGATGAGTTTGTATTTATATAAATATGTATGTAAAAATACTTTGTTCTTTTGCTTTTGTTGCAGGGCAGGGTTAGGGGCACCCCATAACCCCCAAAACTGCCTGCTCTAAATAGGTTCTGCCATCTGCCGTATAAGATAGAACGTACTCTAGTGCTTAAGGTCTTTAATGGAAAGGAACTTTAATACAGCTAGTGTGTAATAAAGACAAGAAAAAGGAAAAAGGTTTTAAATCAAGCACCCAAAGCTACCTTCCCCTCCTGGATAAATGCCCAGCCAAACAGGTTTTGGTAGGGGGAAAGGATGTCCTGAGCAAACTCCATACAGGCTTTGTGGACTCCACCCCCACGACACTGGGAACTACAAATCCCATGATCACCAAAGGGAGGGTTGTGAGGACCTGAGGGCGGGGTTAAGCAACTGGGCTTTTGGTTTGGGTATTTAACTGGCCATGTGGCCAGGGGGTCGCCCTCTTTGCCACAAGCCTTGCTAGGTTTTTCACCAGCTCAGTGGGTCATTGGGATTCCAGGTCAGCGGAAACAGGTAGGACACATTTATGAACTTATCTCCCTCCTTTTTTCCCTGAGTTATTCATTTCCCCATTTTCCCTTCCCTTGTAAACAAACCTTTCATCAACCTTTTGTGTATGTCTGCAGTTTAGCATAGTAAGTCCCCTTTAAGGGCACGGGTGAGGAGCCATAGTCAGGCAACCCCATTTTATATCGGGGTTTGCCCTGTAACAGTTTGGCCCCGAGCAGGACTGCTAAGGCCCAAAAGTTTGCCACAGGTTTAAAGCACCTTCTGGTGGGGACCCATAGGAAAGGGGCAGAAGGGGAAAGGCAAGTCTGAAAGGAAAAGAGCAAAATCAAAATTAAGATAAAAGCTGCCATTGTTAACATCCCCACAGGTCTCTCATCCACATCTGTTTCAAGTGTCTCCTTCCACATCCCCCATGTTTCTTGTACAAGTCCAAGACCGAGAAGCAAGCACAACTTCTTCACACACAATTTCTTCACATGTCTCTCTGCTCCATGTGCTTCCTCCACGTGCTTCCTCCAGGTGCTTCCTCTAGGTGCTCTTGCTCTTCATCCTGCTTTCCTTTCTTCCCCAGTCTCCTCTCCAGCTTCTCAGCTCCACCCTCCTTGGGTGGGGCAGGGAACCTGGAACCTCCCCTTTCCCTGGGGACCACCCAGTTACACCTTTATTACTTGTAAACTATATTAAAGCTCTTCAAAGGTGAATTGCCTTGAGCAACTCATTTTCTTCTCCAGATTGCTTAGCCAAGAATTAGCTTCTAATCAAGTATGTAAATGCTCTAGGGTTTTGTCACACATTCAAATACCCTTTACTTTGCCCCAGGCACTCCGTGTTTTCTGAGCTGGGTTGCAAGGATGAATCAGTCTTGGCTCTTCAAGTAGCTTAGCTAACAGTTCAGCAGGAGAGGTCCTAGTGGCACTTTCAATTTAGAATTTTTTTGAAGATTTATTTTTATTTATTTATGCATACAAGAACTGGGATATAGGCCAGAGGTGCGGGGGGGGGGGGGGAGGGTGAGAGGATCCACCAGAGACAGAGTGGGGAGCAGAACAGATGGATCTACTGAAATACACTGCTAAGGGGAGCAGCAGGCGAGCTAGGTCTGCTGCACCATGTGGGTTAGCTCCCTGGCTGGCAGTGGCTGGCAATAGCTTGATAGCACTGAGACTTAACCCCTGAACCACTGGGGAGGCCCCAGAATTTTTTTTTAAATGAATGTATGGAGGTCTTTTGACCATTTTCATCTCATCTGATTTTAAGATGCCTTGGTAATACAACTGAGGAAATCCCTATATGGCAGAGGCTCTAATTCTGAGTTAATGTGTCTTGTGCTCTTGACTGGAGAAGCAGCTCTTAAACCAGCTCCCTTGGACCCGAGGCTCCTTGCAGACATCATCTGGGTGTCAGGCACTCGGTTTTATAGTCCTGTTACAGGGCAGGGAGAGGGGCACCCCAGAGCCCCCAAAACTGCCCACTCTAAATAGGTTCTGCTATCTGCTATATCAAGACAAAACATATAAGACCTTTAATGGAAAGGAACTTCAATACAATTAGTAAACAATACAGGAAAGACAAAGAATATAGTTTCTAAATCAAGGACCCAAAGTTACCCGTCCCCTCATGGGTAAAAGTCCAGCCAAATGGGATTGCCCCAGTGCAAGGCCCGAAAGCCTGCCACAAGTCTAAAGTACCTTTCGGCGAGAACCCACAGATAAGAAACAACCAGACAAGTCTTGGAGGAAAAGAACAAAATCAAAATCAAGATAAAAGCTGCCATTGTCACCTCCCCACGAGTCTCTCACCCACATCTGTGTCACCCAGTCCAAAACCAAAAGGCAAGCGCAGTTTCTTCGCATGTCTCTCTGCTCCATGTGCCTCCTCCAGGTCTCCTTCTGGCTCCATCCTGCTTCCTTCCTTCCTCTGTCCCTTCTGCAGCTTCTTCTCCTCCCTGCTCAGCTCCATCCTCTCTTGGGTGGGACAGGGAACCTGGAACTTCCCCTTTTCCTGGGCACCACCGTTAGTCTTTACAGTCATTACAGTCGTGGTCTTGAAATGTCACCTGTCTTGTTGTCTTGGAGGCTTCTGTTATCCTGAGGTCTATTTGATAGTCGGCTTTCAGTGGCTCGCCCTGTTTCATTAAGAATCCTGGTGTCTCCCTCCTTGGGCTGTGCTGTCACTGGGGGTGTTCCTGAGTGGTGAAAAATGGTGACAGGTGGAGCCAAATTAAAACGTGTGTCCATTGACTCTTTTCTTGAAGCCACTTGTCCTCTTACAAATTGTTGTGGAGAAGAGTCAGGGTATAGACTGAGATGTGGAGGTGAAAGAATTCACCAGAGATAAAGTGAAGAACAGAAAAGATAGATTTATTGAAATACACTACTAAGAGAAGCAGCCTCGAGAGTGGAGGAGGAAGAGGATTTGGGGCTCATTTTTATAACCTGATTTGGTGGTTTTTCATGACTGGGGGAATCTGTCTCTGCCAGTTGTTTTCTGCTGGGACATCAGGTTTCACTGGACCTTCTGTACAGGAGGTGTCCTGCTGGGTTCTGTTTGCCTGGAATTCTCATGTGGATCCCTGGCCAAGTTCCCATGGCAACTCTGTCAGTTCCCCTTCCTTATCTATTTTGTCCCTCCCAGCATTGTTCAGCTGAGCAAAGCACAGACTAAGTTTTAACTTTATTTAAATGATACCGCCACAAAAATGTGTGACTCAATTGAGTGCATCATACAAATAATTTTCAGTGATTTATATGCTGTTTTCCTTAATTGATCTTTTCTAGAAAATAGATTAAAGAAATGTGACCAAAGTTTCAGTATCAGTGGCTGAGTAGGCAGGTAACAGCATTGCTCTTACACTTGCTCTGTAACTGAGATGCATTTGAGTGATGAGGCTGCTCCTCTATTATTAGTTTGTTCTGTTTGAGGCTTGGTGTTTTTGCTAGGACATTTGTCATCTTTAAAAAAAAAAATCTCAACTCTTATGTTTTGCTGCCACCAGGTGCCTGGTGGCCACAGTAGCCTAATGTATGTTTCTAGTAGTATAAATAAGGTCAGCCAGACTTCAGGGTTCTGAATGCATATTTAGATAATGTGTCACTCTATTATCATAAGCAATGGAATACAAAATTTGAATAAGCAAAAAACTTTCATAAGGCATATTTTGCATATAGTTTTTTAAAGTTTATTTTCTTACATCTTTGTTAATTGTTGTACAGTATTTGATTTCTCCCCTCAGGTGGAGTCCCTAGAACTTTCCCACCACCAGAGCACCCGTGATCCACTACTACAATCCCTTTGTGCTCTTCCCTCCCCTGTTTTGAACCCTCTCCCTCCCCCTTCCCTGAAGTATGCCTCATTTCTATGGCCAACTTGCAAGTTTTGTCTTTTTTCCTGTCCCTTTCTATCGTTTCTCTATATTCCACATATAAGTGAAACCATCCTATATTTCTCTTTGTCCTTTTGGCTCACTTTTCTTAGAACATTCCTTCCATTGCCATCCATGATGCCACAAATGGCATGAGTTTATCTTTTTGATTGCTGAGTAGTATTCCATTGTGTGTGTGTGTGAATGTGTGTGAATATATATATCACATCTTCCTGAACTGTTCATATGTTTTGGGGCATTTATGTTGTTTCTATTTCGTGGCTCCTGTTAATATGGCAATAAACATAGGAGTGTGGGTTTCTTTTCAAATTAGTGTTTTTGTGTCCTTTGGATGGATTCCTAGGAGTGGAATCACTAGGTCATATGGTAGCTCCATTTTTAGCGTCTTGAGGAACATCCACACAGCTTTCCATGGTGGCTGGACCAGTTTACATTCCCACCAACAGTGTAAGAGGGTTCTTTTTAACCACATTCTTAAATTTTATATACAGTTTAAATTAACTAACAAAATATAGTCATATTTCACTGACTCTAAGATGCCATCATTTCAAAAAGATATCTATTTTAGAAGCATTTTTTAAAAAGATTTATTTATTTATGAATATAAGAACTGGGGTACAGGCTAGAGGTGTGGGATGTGAGAGGATTCACCAGAGATAGAGTAGGGAGCAGAACAGGCAGATCTACTGAAATACACTGCTGAGGGCAGCAGTAGTCAAGACAGGTGAGGTCTGCTGTGCCATGTGGGTCAGCTCCCTGGCCAGGGATCGACCTCATGCTGCAGTAGCTGCGGATTGCTTCATAGTGCTGTGTCTTAACCCCTTGCACCACCAGGGAGGCCCCTTTAGAAACATTTAAAAGTGAAAAAATAGACATCTTGGAATAAAGGACACAGGAAAAAAGTCAAAGGCTAGTATCTGGCACATAGATTTTGAACATGTTACTTTTCCCTTTACTCAGATCAGTTTAACATTTTTCCTCTTCATCCTAGAATAAGAAGAGAGGTGGAAAGACTTTAAATACCATACATGGGGCCTTATTTAATCGTTGGGGAAACTGGTGCTCAAAGTGTTTGATGAAGCCAAGGTCAAGTGATGATTTAGTGACGGGAGGTCTTACTTACTCCAAGTCCTTCTCTCTTGTCCCCGTTGACCTGCCCTAACATCCTTGCTATTTGTTGACCAAGCCAAGCGCTTTCTTGGCTGGGAGGCTTCTGTTTGCTTGTTCTACTTGGAGCCCCTCTCCCCGTCTGTGCACAAGTGGTTCTCTGCTTCCTCGGGTGTCAGTTCAAATATCCCCAGCTCCTCAGTCCTTCCTCAACCACTGCTCTCAAGGTAGGGCCATCCCACCCACTATCTCTAGCACCTTGCTCTGTCTTTGGAGTACTTTGCAAGGTGAAATAATCTTGTATATATTTTACACTATTGTTTTGTTCCCCCACCCCCACCCCAAATGTGAGCCCATACAGAGTTGGTCTGTTTTGTTCATTGTTTTACCTTCAATGGCTGGTGCATAAAAGCTTTCAGCAAATATATACTGAATAGATGAAGGAGGTGGGTAAAAAACCCAGGCTTTTTGATATTCTTCTGAAATAGATGCTCAGAGGTCAGCCTTGTCAGTGTAATGGGAAGGTCTCAGACTCTGGAACTGAACATATGTGGGTTTAAATTCCAGCTAGCTCTGTTACCTTAAGGAAATTTCTTGGCTTTTCTGTGCCTTGGTTTTTGCATCTATAAAATGACAGCAATGGTGCTTATGTCATGAGTTGGCTTTGGAGGAGAAACAAGATGACACATTAGGTGAGAGAACACATAAAACCCCCTAGCACAGGGCCTGACACAGGGTAAATGTTCCATGTTTTGCATTTTTTTAAAAAAATTTTTTTTAAGATTTATTTATTTATACAAGCACTAGGGTACAGGCCAGAGGTGCAGGAGAGTGAGAAAATTCACCAGAGAAAGAGCAGGGAGCAGAACAGGCAGAAGGACCAAAGTACACTGCTGAGGGGAGCAGCGGGCGAGACAGGAGAGGTCTGCCTCACCATGTGGGTATCTCTCTGGTCGGCCAGAAATCGAACTGGCACTGCAGAGGCTGTGGACAGCTTCACAGCACTGTGCTCAACCCACTGTGCCACCAGGAGGCCCTGTTTTTGCATTTTTTTAAATCAGTATTTTCCTTTTGCATGCAAGTTTCTTTTCATTAACTGCCCTCACAAAGTCTAGTCAGGAAAACCATCATTGGATTCTTTCTTTTTTTTTTTTTTTAAGATTTGTTTATTTATGCATGCAATAACTGGGGTGTAGTCCAAAGGTACCGGGGGTGAGAGGATTCACCAGAGACAGAGTGGGGAGCAGAACAGGCAGGTCTACTGAAATATACTGCTGAAGGGAACAGTAGGCTAGACAGGAGAGGTCTGCTGCGCCATGTGGGTAGCTCCCTGGCCAGGGATCAAACTCATGCTGCTGTGTCTTTAACCCCTGCCCCACCCTAGATTATTTCTTGATACTCATAATCCATTTGCCTGACACAGAGAAGCATCGCCTCTAACACCTGCCTTTCTGAATGAAATATTTTGCCTGTTGCATTAGCCAGTCAGCAATGCATCCTCATTTTTGGCTCAGGATGCCTAGTTTTCACAAAACATAAGTGTGACCTACATATTTTGAGAACTAGCTATTTGCTAGGCAGTGGATGTTGAACAAACACAACACAGTTGTCCTCGAGCTCTCAAAGCTCTGATCTTCTAGTTGAGGGGACAGATAGGTAAGTTAGATACTGCAGTTGTGGGAAAAGTTTTGCAAAGAATTAGCCATGATTCTGCCAGGATTCCCACGCACCTACTGACCACCTGGTGCTGCAGTCAGCCTGGCTCCTCCTTGTCACAGACAACAGGAAGGGGCAGCAGCCAGCCAAGTGAGAGTTAGCTTGGCCTCAAACCACTTAGTCCCTAGTGCTCTGCGGCCTCAAAAGGGGGTCACTGTCTCTGGGTCCCCTTGGGTTTTTGCTCATGTGTCAGGCTACATTCACAGTAAGGGGATTAACTTTTATGGGAAGCTCTTGGACTCATTTATAATTTAGATGTTTTGATTTATTTTTACTGGAATGCTTTCCTTTCTCTTTCTCTTCTATTTTGAAAAAGTGTCAGATTTAACAGAAAAGTTGCAAAATAGCCCAGATTTCCTTCACTCCCTTGATTGAGATATCCCAGATACTAACATTTTGCCATATTTACTTTATCATACTGCCTAAAAATAAATGTTTCTCCTGCAATGTATGAGACTAAGTCCAGACTCACTGTCTCTTTACCTCTAAATACTTCACTGTGTGTTCCCCCCAAATGAGAACTTTCTCCTATAGAACCAATGGACAATGCTCAGAAGTATAAATTAATATTGATACAATACTAAAACCTACAAATTCTTTCTATATCTCATCAATTGTCCTATTGTTCTTTCCTCCAGGGTCACATATTGCTTTAGTTGCCATGTCTTGCTAGTTTCCTTTAATCTGAAACAAAATTAAGTTACTTGGCTTTTTTTTTAAATTTTATTTTTATATTCCCCATATAATTGCAACCCCCTTATTTTGACCCTAATCCCTCCTTTCCCCGCCCCCCACCCCCAAAGTGTGTCTCTGGTTCATAGTTGTTTGTTGATTTTGATTTTTTCTTTCTTATAGTTATTCTTTTTCCTGGTCCCTTATTTAGGTTTTCTAGATTCCTGCTATGAGTGAGACCATCCGGTATTTTTCTTTTTCTTTCTGGCTTATCTCACTGAGCATGATCCCTTCCAGCTCCATCCATGTTGCTGCAAATTGCATGTGTTTATCTTTTTTGATTGCTGAGTAATATTCCATTGTGTATATGTATCACATCTTCTTGATCCATTCATCTATTTTTGGGCATTTGGGTTGTTTCCATAGCTTAACTATTGTAAATAGTGCTGCTATAAACATAGGCTTGCAGGTGCCCTTTGAAATTAATGTTTCTGTGTCATTTGGGTAAATACCTAGGAGTGGAATTGCTGGATCATATGGAAGGAAGCTCCATCTTTAGCATGTTGAGGAATCTCCACACAGCTTTCCATAGTGGTTGAACCAGTTTGCACTCCCACCAACAGTGCAGGAGAGTTCCTTTTTCTCCACATCCTCACCAGCATTTGTTGTTGCTAGTTTTTTTAATATGTGCCATTCTCACTGGTATGAGATGGTATCTCACTGTAGTTTTGATTTGCAAATTACTTGGCTTTTTGAAAAATGATTTGACTTATTTAAAGAATAGAATGTCCCTCGCTTTGGCTTTTCTTTTTTTTTTTTACTATTTTATGGCTAGATTGATCATATCCCTTTTTTGCAAGAACACCACACAAGGGACATTATTTCAGGAACTACATACTGCTGGTCTATCTCAATTGCTGCTGAGGTTAACTTTGATCACTTGGTTAGAGTGGTAGCTGCCAAGGACCCCTCTATAAAGGGACTGGTCATCCTGTTGTAATTAGTAAGCCTAATTAGTAAGCATACTTTGGAATGTTGTTGTACCTTTTTTTTTTAAGATTCATTTATTTATGCATACAAGAACTGGGGTGTAAGCCAGAAGTGCAGAGGGGAAGAGGTGAGAGGATTCACAGGCGGAATAGAACAGGCAGATTTACTGAAATACATCGCAGAGGGGAGCAGCCAGCAAGACAGGAGAGGTCTGCTGTGCCATACTGGTCAGCTCCCTGTCCTGCTGGGGATGAACTCATGCTGCAGTGGCTGCCAATAGCTTGATAGTGCTGCCTTTAACCCCTGCGCCACCAGGGAGGCCCATGTTGTAGTATCTTGCTTCTCAGCACACTCTGGTCCTCTACTTTAGCACTGAACTCTGGCCTGAAACAACATGGCGTGTCTCTCGTTCCCTAGATTGTGTCTACCTGACCCTTCAGAACCTGTCCCAGGACCCCCAGGACTGGAAGAACTCACCATTCTTCAGGCTGGAATTTTGTCGGTAAATAAGCTTTAAGTCTCATTCCCTGGGAAACAAGGATGGGGACAGCAAAGGAGAGATGAAAAACGATGACAACTTACACTTCGTGGTGTGTTTTTCATTCAGGCTCTTACAAGTTGAAATCTCCTTTCATCTCAAAGGCATTGACCTACAGACAATTCATTCCCGAGAGCTACCAGACTGTTATGACTTTCAGAACACGGCAAGTATCTGCGTTCTCAGCCACATTTAATTCTTTTTCTTTACTCCTTCTAAAGAGGGCAAGTGTAAAACATACCAGCCTAGAGATGTGTTGGAAACAGTTGTGTTTTAAACCGATTTTATGACATTTTATAGTTCTGTTGATCCAGAGACCATTCTAAAAAGTAAAGCGATCTTTGCCAGCTTTCAAAACTAGATTTCTGGGTGGAAAAGAGTCTTCAAGATGAACTTTGACCTTCAAGTCTCCTAATACATTTCTTTTTCTAAGTTTATGATGAGGGTTTTAAATGTCTGCAACGCTCTCCCCATTTTTAAAGGAAGGTCTTTGCAAATATTGTAGCAAATGTTTTCCAGCCTGCAGGCAGAAACTGACCCTTGCTCTGAAGACAATTCTGTAAGGAGAAGTTGCTGCTGCTTTTATTTTGGGAGGAACCGTAAGTGGCATATGAGACTGTTCCGGTTTATGGGGGGAGTCACCTGACTTTTCACTTTCAAGGCACATCCTGCTTGCTTTCTTTAATGTCTACTGAGGAGCAAAACTAAATGCTGAGCAGAGAGTTGTATGTAACTATCTCATAGCAATTCAGAAGAGTGCTTTCAACAAAGTGACATACTCAGGGAATGCCTAGGACAGTTAGCCAGTACCCACTCATGAACACCCAGTATGGTAAGTCCATATACACTCCCTAGTGCAACGTGAATCAATGCACACTCAGTGGGTCCCTGGGGCAGTGTGTTGATGGACACTTAGTAAGTCCCTATGATCTTCAGGTGTTTGGGCATGCTCGAGAAACTGACCCTCAGGAAGCTTACAGCCTAGTAGGAGAGGTAGACAGAACAAGACAATGAAGAAATGAAAGTAATTATAAATTATGACATGTGGTGAGGAAGAATGCTCTGGCAGGGAAGAGCATGATTAACTTCCTTGTGGTGTCCTGCACAGTATGAAGCGTTAAAAAAAAAAAAAATCACAGGCTAAGAACTTGGAGAGCTGAAACTACATGTTCTGTGATTAAATCCATAAGTACCTGAGCATCTTGGAACACCAACCGAATTCTGTGTAGTCCAAGAACATCACTGTGATTAAAACAAAGGTTCAACAATTAAGCCAGGTCATATTTTTGTATCTGTGATCTATCTTTCAACCTCCACTAACTTTGGCACTTCCAATCTTGTTTTTCCCCAGGAAAGTCCCTGAAATACTTCTCCCAATACTATGCATATGTCAGCACGTACTTACATAATTGAAACATAATGTGAAAGATTGAAGGCATTCAAAAATCTTAAATTCAGCTTGGCAAACTTGGAGCAATCTTTGTCATTTCTGAAATCACTTGAAACAAATAGGAAAATAATTTCCAGTCTACCAAATTCTGGAATTTCATACCCAAAGGAATAAATGAAAGGAAATGCTTTTTAATTCCATCTGGTGGATTAAGTGAGGTCATTGTGTTGTTTTGTCAAAGATTGGTAAATCTTGTTCCTGGAACTGTTTAGTTGTTTTGCTTTAGGATTTCCCTGAACCAGAATATGGATTTATAGAACTTCATGTATTCACCCCTCAGGGCATAATGATTTTCACACACACACAAAAAAAAGTTGGGAAGAAATCATGCGACGAGGCATTTTCATCAGTATGATTCTCTGTGGATCAGCAGGCCAATTGAATATCATTGAGATTTTACATAGAATCAATCTAACAGGTCATACTTTCTGCTGAGTATAACTTCTCCATACATTTGTGTCTCCAGATTATCTTTGACAATAAAGCACACAGTGGCAAAATCAAAATCTATTTTGACAGTGAAGCTAAGATCAAAGAATGTAAAGACTTGAACATATCTGGATCTAGTAAGTATATCATATGCGGGTCCATTTTGGATTATGGATGATTTTTAACACTTTATTTTTGGGTTTGAGGCATTTATACGGTTTATTCAAATAGTTATAGGAAGAAACATCTTCGGAAAACCACATTCTGAGCATTTGATTTTATAAAGTATTTCCCAAAGCTTTGCATTTTTGTTCAATTGAGCATATTGTGATTATACCCCTCTTAGGAGAGGTGGTGGGACCCAGGGGTTTAGGAGCAGAGTCTGGGGCTAGACAGCCTGTGTTTGGATCTTGATTCTGTTCTGTATGACTACTTACCCTCTCTGTATTTCAGTATCCTTCTTTGCAAAATGAGGATGATGATAATACTTACCCTCTAGGATGTTGAGTATTAAATGGGTTCAGATGTAAAGCAAAGTATTGAGAACTAGAGTTGGCCCACAGTAATTGCTGGGCACTACTGAAAGGGGAAAATACCTTAGTGAAGGAGACAGACATGTGACATCTCTATGTCTATGTATATGAAGTCACCGTGCTCATGGATGGGCATAAGTGGAGATTCCAAAGGCCTGAGCATAAAGAGAACAATGGGTAGTTTTGAATGGGGCAGAGTGAAAAATAAAACCTAGCAATGATTCTTGGATGAGGTGTGCTTTGGGTAGGAGCCTGTGACAATGGAGAGGCATCAATATCTTCATCAATATCAATATCAATAGTCTCAGCTCTATCACCTCTGAGTTCGATCCCCAGCCAGGGAGGTGACCCACATGGCGCAACAGACCTCTCCGGTCTCAACTGCTGCTCCTCTCAGCAATATATTTTAGTAGATCCACCTGTTCTGCTCCCCACTCTGTCTCTGGTGAATCCTCTCACCCCCTACACCCCCACACTCCCACCCCACACCTCTGGCCTATATCCCAGTTCCTCTACAAATAATAATAATAATAATAATAATACCATTTAAAATGAGTTACACAAAATCTATTCTCATTGAATGGTTGGCTGGTATTAATGATGTATGATCAGTATTTTTTAAAATTTATATGTTTTGTCTCATTGAATTTGCTTTTGACCGATGATCAACATAAAATAAAACGTAAAATACCTGTGGTTCTGAACTTTTAGATTTATTTTAAACTGGATTTGATTGTTGGCCTCATGCTTTTCAGTTAATGTCTGATGACTTTGAAGTTTTGACTTTAGCAGCCATTAACTAACTCAAGCCTCTAATCAGAATGCAGTTTTAGTTTTGTTAAAAGTGGTTACTATTTGTTAGCAGATACTCTCCCACAGAAAGGCCCAGAGCAGATGCATATTTTCCAAACCCCAAGTGTAGATTGTAGGTGTTTTATGTGGGGGAAAAAAAGCTAAGCTTTGTCACATGAAATGTGGTTTGGAATAGTCATGACTGAATGAGTAATTCATCCCCTCATTGTGCGCCTTACAACGCTGGGGGTGTGGGTGACTGTACAGACGCGAGAGCGAAGCTCTAGCTCCCTCCTGTGGCCTGTGAAGAGAAACACAAACCTCACAGAAAGGCAGGAAAAAAAGATGTGAAACATCCTTCTCCCAGAGTTGCTTCCTAAGAAACCAGCTTCTGTCACTGGGAGAATACAAATTTAAAACAAGATGATGTGACATGAAAGGCTTCAGAACCTGAAGTTTGAAACCGAGCTTAGGAAATCGATTTTTTACCCCCTGTACCCAAAGTTCCCTGGTGAATTGATCACCCTGGTTTGGGGGGATGAGGGGAGAGGGGTTATGGGACAGAAGCAAGGGCTGCATCTGATGGGATTCTTGTGTGATTTCCAAAGATCTCTACAGTTCATTCATATCCATGCACTCTCCCTGAGGTAGGTCTCTCCTCCGCCCACTCTCCTTCCCCCTCACCCCCTTTCTCTTACCAGTGTTATCCCCAGGTGAAAATACCAGGGAAAGTCTGTTTTCACATATCAACCTAACCTTGCTCTTTATGACTGGTGACAGCCATCCCCACATGTGCCACTCACCTGCACTTTACCTTTATTCTATGAAGACAGTACTTTGGGTTTGAGGAGCCGAGGGAGATATTGGTGGGCTGAACTCCCCACTGGTGGATGACATAAATGGGTGTCAGGGGGTCAGGAGGTTTGCTAAGTGTGGGAAGTCTGGTTAGAACCACACAGGTAGGTGTGGGGGTGGGGCGGGGGGTCTTCCCTGACAGGTTCTCAGGGGCATCTCTCTGGAGGAGTGTTTTATAAATCAAGGGTCTAAAAATGATTCTGTAGGAATAGTTTCAATAGAGTTAAGAAAGCAGTTGCTTTCATAAAACTGTATCACAAAAAAGTATCGTAAAACACTTTTTGTAGCATACCAAACTGATCCCAATAAATCAAAAACAGATTATGTGCTGGGAGGGACAGTTCATTTTTCTAGATCTGGGAGTCAGTTTTTCCATCTGTAAATTGGAGCCAACACAAGCAATCTCAGTGACTTTGTTCTAGTGATTGGACAGAAAAGAAGACACTAAATACTATTCTTGCAATTTATAAGATTTTCAGCCCCATCTTGCCAAGAACTGCCCCTGTTTCCTCTGCCTCATCCCGTGGGTCCATTAAAAAAATGATCTTGGGTCCTGGTAGGGTGAAATTGCTTTCTTACCTATCCATGAGATGGTATTGAGGTAACTTGAGCTTCCAAGTAGAAAATGGCTAAAAGTAAATGTCGGTGGCCAGCTGGGCACTAGGTAAGGTTCTAACAAGTACTTGTTAGAAAGTACCTCATTTCCCCACAGTCCAGACCCAGTGGCTATCCCATTTTGTAGTCGAGGTATCTGATGCTTAACAAGGCTAAGTAATCTGCTCAGACAATTGACTTGCCAGCTATGTCATCACCCCCTGGGTGAGCTGCTTTGCCCTCAGACACTGTGCCATTGTCAGTCATGACCTGTGGACACTCGGTCTTTCTCCTAAATGCCTTCTCTGCAGAGGTGTCACTGTGTGGCATCCCGACTTTAAACCTACCCCCAGGGTGTCTTCTCCTCAGGCCTTTCTCTATCTTATTCCTGGGCTCATCTCTTCTAATTCTCGAACATTGCCACCCACCCCCCTCAACCCTTGCTAGTCTTGTTTCTTTCTGTGGTCTCTCCAAGTGGCTGTGTCCCCACCCATGGCTCTAAGCTGCCACCAAGTCATGCTCTCTTGCCACGAATGGTAGAATGTGCTCAGTTTACCCAAGGCAGACAACCAGGAGTTCTTGGTTGGCCCTCGGTCCATTTGGAGAACAGGATGACTCTTCATTTCTGGAGACTCAAACTGCCTTGGCAAGTTCTAATTTAGATTATTCAATGATCTTCTCGTTCTGCTGGGGTCTCTGGATTTATCTGTAAGCCCCTAATGTCCCTGCTTCCCAGAGCCAAATGGTGCAATCATATCTGTAATAGGTGTTTGCTGTTGTTATATGCTGCTGGTTATTCTCCCCATGAAGAAGCTGAGGGGACTTCCCCAAGGCTCTGAGTATAGAGATCAGTCTCCAGAGACCATGGCCTTTCCAGTTTTACACTCCCTCTGTCTGCCCTCCTGTGCCAACTTTGAAGTCATGATTTCAAACTTCAAGCAAAGGAGAGTTCAAGGAGCTATGGGTGTATATACTTGTGGAGAGTATTTTGAAAGAATATAGAAGGGGGATAATAGAGAGGGGAATTTAGGGAAACTGTTCTGAAGAGGAAGATAATTAATCTGAAAGCCAAGACTGAAAAAGAATAATGTAAATATGTGTGTTGAGGGGCCTCTGTTCCAGGAAAGGGGTCAGTTTTTGAAAAGTCGATGGGGGTAGGGCAGAGGTTGAGGGAGGGAGGGACTGTTAGGAACAGCAGGGAGAGAGGGCAGAGAGAAGGTGGGCAGAGAGGCTGAGTGGCAGGTGGTGAGGTTGCTCTGTGGGCAGGGGCTAGAGGTGGGGAGAGACATGGTTGGCACTTAGGACACTACAGAGAAGTCAGAGAGATGCAAAGCTTACAGTTTCATCTTCCTCTAATATATTCCCTGTATTCCAAATTCTATTTCTGTTTATTACACTTCTCCTTCCATTTCAAGAAGTTATTTTTTTTCCACATGTGAAAAAGCTTATTGTGTCAGCATCTTTCCTGGAAAAAGGCACAATAAGGTTGAGAAACAGGAATGCATGTTCTTAGTGGTGGTGTTTTAAACCATTCCCTCATTAAGAAGAACTTGACGTTTGTGGAAGAACTTGACGTTTGTGCGTTAATGTGACAGAACCAAGTATGTCAGCAGTTTTGCATCTCTTGAATGGAGCCCAACTAGGCCACCTTTTGGTGAAGTCTAGTCTATAGTAAATAACTACAAAATACACTTGAATACATTTGTTTGTAGTTTGTGCGTCTAAATATAAACCTCTTAACTTCAGGGAATGAATGCTTTGCCTTATTTGTGTCCACAAATAATATTTATGTCTGACTTTGTGGACAAATGTGGTGTGATTTGTTCCTGATGCTATTAATCATTTGAACTTCTTTTGAGACTGCTATCTTGTTTGGAAATGATTCCCAAGGAGGAGGTGTTTCATGTCCGAATTCTATTGTTGTTCCTCAGTTCAGAAAAATACTCAATACGTCCTCATATTTGATGCCTTTGTCATCGTGATTTGCTTGGCGTCTCTCATTCTGTGTACCAGATCCATCGTTCTTGCTCTCCGTTTACGAAAGGTAAGTGTGTGTTCAAATTTTCTCCCTTCTCCTGGCTTCTGCTCTCAGTTCACCCCAACATCAGACCCTATGTTGGGTCCCCCTGCACTTTCTGGAGAACTTGATTAAATTAGATCCTTGAGTGGCTGTCCCCCAGAGGCTTTAATCACCCCGAGGGGCAGGAAGTGAGGAAAGGTTCCCAGCACATCAGGTGGGATCACGTAATTATCCTGCTTAAATCGGAGGTGATAAACACAGGTGCACAGTGGTGAACTCTTGAGATTTTGAACATTTCTAGAATAAATGAGACCCTCTTAAATTCAAGAGTGATCTTAAGAACCAAGTAATAGCATGTATGGCTTCATCTTTTGTCTCATTTTGACAGAGAGGTACGGTTAAAGGGTTATCATTGAAGCATAAATACTTTATTCTATTTTTTAAATAGTTTAACAATTCTCCCCTGAGTTTCATTTTACCTTTTTACCTTCAGGGCTCTTGTCAATATATACTCCAGCTCCCCACAAATCTTACTCTGTTCGTGGCATATATGTAAATTCATATCAGGGTCAGGAGAAATAGAAAGTCAGCAAGATGCCATTTGTGGAGCAAAGAAATGGTCTACATTTATTCTTCTTTTTTTTTTTAAGACAAATGTCCTTTTTTTTAAAAAAAAAAAAAAGTATTTATTTATTTATTTATACAAGCACTGGGTAAGGTGCTTGTATAAGAAGTGTGGGAGGGTGAGAGAATTCACCAGAGCCAGAGCAAAGAACAGAACAGGCAGACTGATGAAATACACTGCTGAGGGGAGCAGCGGGCGGCAGGAGAGGTCTATGCGCCATGTGGGACCCTCCTCCGGTGGGCGGGGATCTAACCAGCGCTGCAGAGGCTGCGGGCAGCTTCACAGCCCAGCGCTCAACCGCTGCGCCACCAGGGGAGGCCCTACATTTATTCTATTTTATTCATTCTTGACCTTTGTCAACTCATTTGCAAGCATCCAGTTCTCTTACCTCTTCCCAAAGTCCCTTGATATTCTGAATCCAAGGCTGGGGTCCTGGTTCTGTCAAAGTGAAAGGTACCATTGCGAATGCAAGATCTGGGACTGCCTGCCTGGACCAAAACCCTGGCCCAGCCCCTGTGTGCCTGTTTCCTCCTCTAGAAGACACACTTGTGCCTGGGACTGAGGGTTGTGGGCAGACTGAGTTGGTCATAGGTGAAGTACTTGGCATATCCTCTGTGTCAGCTGTTAGAACCGGTGACTCTGAGACCCTAGGTATTTAATGATCCAGTTAACTTAGCAGGCACTAGAATGCTTACTGAAAGCTGGGGCAGATCACAGGGTGAGCGTGTGCTGCGCTCTCTACTCCTGAAATGGATCTATCGAGTAGGAGCAGGTAACACCATATCAGTTCATATCATAGAGCACTGCTTTGCATTGTCTCCTCCCAGAGGGCAGTGTGGTTTGTAAGAAAGGCTTTTTAAAAAAAGATTTTATTTTTATTTATTTATGCATACAAGAACTGGGGTGCAGGCCAGAGGTGCTAGGGGTGAGAGGATTCACCAGAGACAGAGTGGGGAGCAGAACAGGCTGGCAGACTGAAATATACTGCTGAGGGCAACAGCAGGCAAGACAGGAGAGGTCTGCTGTGCCATGTAGATAGCTCCCTGGCTGGTGATCAAACTCAGGCTGCAGTAGCTAGTGGTAGCTTGATAATGCTGAGACTTTAACCCACTGCTTTTTAAAATGTTTACCACCACAGAGATTTCTAAACTTCTTCCTGGAGAAGTACAAGCGCCGAGTGTGCAACGCCTACCAAAGTGAGTTCATCAGTGGATGGTACATCCTGGTGATTATGAGTGACCTCATGACAATAATTGGATTAATATTAAAAATGGAGATTAAAGCAAAGGTGAGGGGTACACCCTTTAAAGTCTTCTGACCATTCTATTCTTCTGGATGACCACAGACACTTAAAAAAACAAAATCCTTATGGAGACTAGTTTGATGCTTGTTTTTCTCACACCCATAAAAACAAAGCTTCCTCTGACCTGACTTTATATGAAGGGACAATAAGGAAGCTGGTATGTGGACGATGATATTCCTATGAATATTTCCCAGGAAATTTGACAGCTGAAATCTTCAGACTTCAGATTAGGATCTGAAGCTTGAAAAGATTGATTGTTTGGGTGAGCTTCATATTGCTTTTTTTTTTTTAATAAATTTTATTTTTATATTCCCCATACAATTGCAACCCCCTTATTTTGACCCCAATCCCTCCTTTTCCCGTCCCCCACCCCCAAAGTGTGTCTCTGGTTCATAGTTGTTTGTTGATTTTGATTTTTTCTTTCTTATAGCTATTCTTTTTCCTGGTCCCTTATTTAGGTTTTCTAGATTCCTGCTATGAGTGAGACCATCCGGTATTTTTCTTTTTCTTTCTGGCTTATTTCACTGAGCATGATCCCTTCCAGCTCCATCCATGTTGCTGCAAATTGCATGTGTTTATCTTTTTTGAATGCTGAGTAATATTCCATGGTGTGTATGAAAAAATGTTCAACATCACTTGTAATCAGGGAAATGCAAATTAAACCTACCATGAGATACCATCTCACACCAGTGAGAATGGCACATATTAAAAAAACTAGCAACAACAAATGTTGGCGAGGATGTGGAGAAAAAGGAACTCTCCTGCACTGTTGGTGGGAGTGCAAACTGGTCCAACCACTATGGAGAGCTGTGTGGAGATTTCTGGACCTACTAAACATAGAGCTTCCATATGATCCAGCAATTCCACTCCTAGGTATTTACCCAAAGGACACAGAAACATCAATTCCAAAGAACACGTGCACCCCTATGTTTATAGCAGCACTGTTTACAATAGCTAAGCTTTGGAAACAACCCAAATGCCCAAAAATAGATGACTGGATCAAGAAGAGCTTCATATTGTTGTTGTTGCTGTTGTTTTAAGTTTCAAAAGGAACAGTTGGCCATGACCCAGTCACTTCAAGGGTGATCACCCATCACCAATGGGTGCTCTGGTAGATGGGCAAGGGAAGGTACTTAATGGTACCTGAAACTTAATGGTACTTCGTTGATTTAATGTCATGACTCAGTGGACTCATCCATCCACCCATCCTTTACCCCCTCCACGCTGTGCCGTCAGTGAGTGAGTATTAGCGGCTTTACCTCCTGCACTCCAAATTACCTTCCCCTTCTCCATCCTACCTACCTCTGGCTTTCTGCAGGATGGTTTCCTCTGTGGTCTGGCCTGCTGCTGCAGCTTCCTCACCAGTTACCCTACCTCATACTTGTCCACATAGACTCGGAATAGTCTTTCTGGAAAATATCTATCTTGCATTACAGTCTACCTCCTGGGCAGTCTTTCTGGAAGTATCTATCTTGTGTTACAGTTTGCCTGCTGGCCTTGGGATGTAGTGGCCCCCCTTCTGTATGGCTCCAAGGTCCTCATCTAGCATCTGGCTCCCCTTTCTACCCTAACTCTCAGTGACCCATCAACTGTGTCTCTTGGATATCTTGAGGCACTTGGCCTTATTCCTCTGCTCAGCCTTTGTTTATTTACCTGCAATGCTACCTCCCAGTTTGTCTTCTAGACCAGCTCTGTCTTGGGCATGCCCACATGAAGCCCCCAGTGACAGGCTGGCATTGTGCCTCTCATCAGAGTTAGCATATTATCTTAGAGTTGATGTGTTTGTCTCCTCAGAGCTAGAATTCCTTAAGAGCAGGAACTGTTAGAAAATCATTTTGAACTTTCTTTTAGAAGTGGCTGAATGGTCTGGTTTGATATTTAATAAATACCATTAGTTTATATTCTTTAATCACTTGGTTAGTGGTAAATGCAATTTTCTGTTTTAAGATATTACTTGAAAAAAAAATGCTCATACTGATGGATATGAGAAGTACATTTGTGCTACTAGTATTTTCTTCTCTGTTTAAACTCTTAATATCACCTATAGAGAGTCAGGGTTCCTTCTTTTCCAGTCAGTTTAAAATGCCATTTTACATTGAGTGGAATAGAGTATTTTGCTCATTTGTCTTTTTGCTCCTTCCTTAGAATCTCACATATTACGACCTGTGCAGCATTTTGCTCGGAACATCTACACTCTTTGTCTGGATTGGAGTCATCAGATATCTGGGTTACTTCCAGGCATATAATGTAAGAATGTCGCCTTGTGTAGTGCCACCACCATTACAGTTTATTTCTTCTTTAGGGTCTAATAGCTACTTTTTCATTTCCCCCATTCTGTTGATTTTCTTTTTTTTTTACAGGTGCTCATTTTAACGATGGAAGCCTCACTGCCCAAAGTCCTTCGCTTCTGCGCTTGTGCTGGGATGATTTATCTGGGTTACACATTCTGCGGCTGGATTGTTTTAGGACCATATCATGCCAAGGTGCATAGTGCTCAATCTTCCTTCTTCAGATTAGGCATTTGTGACTCTTGAAATGGGGTTTCCCAGCTCTGACCTTCATCCCCCTTTTCTCTAGCACATAGCACTCATCTTTCCATAGCATTTTCCCCCTTTTCAGGATATTGGGATGCTTTCAGGATATTGAAACAAGAACTGCAAGAGACTAACAGGCACATTTCCTAGTCATGTTGGCTTAAGGGGTCACGTATTTATCCGGCTACTCACCGAATGAGAAATGTTCAGACGTGAGATCACAAAAGTTAAAATGAAAATTAAGTGAGGAAATGTATTACAAAGTATTTTTAATTTTAAGTACTAGGGTTTTCATCCAAGTTAATTGAGGAGAATGAAAGTGGACAAAGATTACCCAGAATGACCATATTTGGTTTATGATTAAAATGATGGTACCCCTTGTCTTAACAGGCAACTTGGATCACAAGCATCATCTTTGTGCCTTATTAAAGATCAGTATCTGCATGTAAACTACTACTGTGCTTCAACTGACATTATCATCTCAGGGATATCAGAGTTATGCATAGATGTTCTTGCTTTAAAATGATGGATGTGATTAGTAGATCAAAAAAAAAAAAAAAACCTATGACAAACCTTGCTTCCAAACTAGTAAAGGTAAAGGAGTTATTGTAGCTTACAGTTTTTCTTCCATGGGCCTCTGGCAATTGGAACATCAGAAGCAACAACAAAATAATGGCAGTTAATACTTTATGCTTATGTGTCATGCTTAGCGTTTCTGTCTTCTGTCTTGGTTAATCTAGACAGCAATCCCTGTTATCTTGGCTTAGGTGTTCTGCAAGAAGAAAGAGTAAAAATGCAAAGTGTTGCTTTGAAGTTTATATAACAGCTCAGTCTTAAGTTTTGATCTTAATCATTGTGTTAAATGAAATGTGTGATCAAATCTACTTTGCAAACTCTTCACAAAAAGTGAACAATCCTCAGACCTCAAACTTTCTGTTTTGTTCTACCAAAATAAGCCCTAGGCTTTTTCCTCTTTAAGTATTATATTTAACATGTTCAAGTAAGGGATTATTTCTAGCTGCGAAGCAGTATAATGAACAAAGTGACAATCTCTCTGAGTGAATCTCGATAATCTTTTTGCTCTTCCAATTCCATGCAACTGTTTTAAAGGTGACTCATCAGTAAAAACTGTTCTTTGATATGATCTCTTTATCTGGGAACTTGCTGTCTGAGTGCCCAGGAAAATTTACATTTTTCTTTCCCTCTGGTCTCATGCTCTGAATGCATCTCTGCATTGTTGTCACTAGAGGGTAGTGTTGTTCTGTGTGGGAGAAATATTGAGCTTAAGGATTTTACCTTTAATTCTCTGGCCCCTGGGCCTCAGAAAGAGTGCTTCTGTCTCCTTTCTCTCTCTCCCCTCCCCCATCATTATTCTGGAAGGTGTTCAGATAATGTTGCTTACATTTTACTAAAATAGTTCCCATTCTTGAGGGCTATATGCTACTTATGGTGTCTGAGTTCTTTACCTCCCTGGCTGTTAACCATCCAGAGCTCTATGAGGAAAAATTATTATCCTTTTACAGAAAATAGGAATCTTAATATAATAGATAATTTTCCTGATGTTACACCACTAGTAAATTGTAGAGATAGGATCACTTCCAGGCTACCTGATCCCAATATACATGCTTTGACCAATACATTCTGGTGCTTTTCTTGGTATTCTCTAAAACAAATGACTGCAAATGAGCATTTAGTCTGATTCAAGAATAGAGAGGAGAGCCAGCCTGTCAAGGTTACCTTGTAGAAACATGTTATTTCCTTCGTGAGTCTGACTCCATTTTTATGTGTTCAATTCAGTCCTTTCAAAGGATCCGGGTAAGATTAAGATGCTCTGAAGCAGCACTGGCCGTTGAAAATATGAGTGCTACCACAAAGAGCCACCTGGGTACTTTAAAGTAGATACACTAAGAAAATTCTTCTCAGAAACAGATGAAATCGATTTTAATAATATATTTTTTTAATCTAATACATACAAAATATTACTTCAGCAGCTATTCAATACAAAACATGTGAGATACTTTACATTTCTTTCTTTTTTTTTTTTTTTTTTTGAGGAGGGGATAGCAAGGCTATGAAATCTGGTGTGTTGTACCCTGAAAGTACATCTCAGTTTGAACTGGCCACGAGTCAGGTGCTCAGTAGCCACAGGTTGTCATGGCTTCCAAGTCAGACCTCACCCCTAGACTTGTGTCTCTTACTGAATGTCGGCCTCCTGCTCCCTCTAACTCACCACCCCCCAGGGAGGAGAGGAGGCATCAGGGCTGTCTCCAGGGTGGCCTGCAGCTCTGTCCCATCTATGGCCAGGCTGATGTATTGGGGAAGTGCCTCCTTGACTTCAGGCAGTCAATGGCTAGAAGCTTTCAGCCTGTTTCTGGATTTTTGTTTTTTTTTCCTCCATGCTTTTTCTTCTTTGAATCTGAAGTTAGACATTTTTACTGCCCCCTTCCCCATTTATCCAGCCTGTGAAATTTGGGGTTCTGCCACTTTCTGTTGAACCAGATGACCTTCAGTATTACCTGCAGCCTTGAAAAGCTGGGCATCACAGCCAGCATTTCTTTGGATTTTTACAATGAAGGCAACCTTAGGTGTAGAAGCAAACTCTTTCTTCAAACAAACAGAAAATTCTAAAGAAGACATATGAGGAAAACTAGACTTTATTTTACTGGCAGCAGGAGTTTTACATTTTAGCTTCCTGTTAGATGTCAGATTTCAATGGTTCAACTGAGAGTAAAATACAGAAAACATTGGGCCCAGCACTAATGGACTTTGGCATGATATCCTTTCAAAGTGTCTGGGCACAGAGGGCTAGAGACTGCTGATATTTAATAATTCAAGAGAGATTTGGAAGGAAAAAAAGAGAGAGAGAGAGAGAGGTTTGGAAGAGCAGTGCTCCCATCTGACTCCTACATTTCCTGAGGACTTTTTACTGTGAGAAATAAATCAGAGTCTTGCATTGTCCCCTTTTTCCAAATAAGAAGACCAATGTGTTGAATAATTGTTAGACTCTGCTGATGCCATGAGAACAATTTCTGTGAGCCTGTAATCCCACTTCATGTGAGATTAAAGCCCCTAGTTTTAGTTAAGCATCTTCTTATTCAAAAGAACTATTAAAACATTTTACCTGAATGTTGTATGAGTTCTGAACACCAGGTCTTGAGGCAAATTTTTATGCCATTCTTTGATATATCCATTGCAGGTTTTTTTCATTCAGATGAAAGTTCTTTTCTCTCAATTTTGAAATTATCATTAGTAAAACAAATGCTTGGGTTCTTGCTGTGGTCCCCCAAAACCTACTGGGACTCTTCATGGAAAAAGCATTAAATATTTGTTTAACAGCCACTGTGCACCAGACATTGTCAGGTTCTTCTAGACAGAGTTCTTAGAGAGCAAGGACTGTGACTTATTTCTCTCAGCATCCCCTGTGCCCATCTTTGTGCATAGAACATGGTTGGGGCTTAACATGTTTGTTGAATGAATAAGAAATAGAGTCAGCAGTGTGTGCTTTCTAGGGGCTGATGGTCCCGTAAGATCAAAAGTGGTTTCCTGGAAATGCAGTCCTTCTAGACTGGAAGTGCATTAGGGCCATATTTCTCCTTACTTAAATATTTTTTAACTTCATTCCCTACTATGAAATTCAGCCACTGAAACTAACTCTGGTTCACAGCCACATCCTGTGGTAAGAATGACAAGGTGTGTTCCAATCACTTAATGGGTGTCTATTTTATCTTTTTGGTGGTTGAAAATAAATCTCAGGTGAACAGACGAAGGCCAAGTATGATGGTGAATGACATTAATATTAAGACAGGTGTTGTATTTAGACTGATACCAAATAATGGCGTAGGAACCTAAGGAATAAGTTTGGCGTGTCTGACGAATTAGCCATTTGCAGTTCTGGAACCCGAAGCACAGGCTGGTAGGAGTTATTGAAACTAAAGAACTGGCTAGATTCCAAAAGAAACTCGAAGAAAAATGAATTATTAATGGTGCTGTCTGAGTTGTAATTGATATCCATAGAAACTGGCTTTTAACTTCATTGTCCTCAGGCTAGTGAAGGGGTTGGAAAATATTTACTCTGGGAACTACCTGTCTTACTGTTAAATAATCTGCATGTTAAGTGATGTGCTTAACTGGATGTCCCTTCTGATCTCTGTGGAGAGTGACTTCCAACCAGTTGTTACTGATGCAGTGAAGTTGTGGGCATGGTGCTTCTTTGGGGTACATTTGTGCCTCTCCCTTGGTTACAGACTTTACCCAGCGCTTCCAGTCATGGAGCAGGGAGGGTAGGATGTAGTGTATGCTATCTTGTTGGGGTGTGGACATGGCTGTCAGGGCCATCTGTCTTGAAGTAGACTTTAAAATAGCCCTCAGGACTCCCTGGTGGCCTAGGGGTTGTCTCAGCTCTATCACCCCTATGACCTGAGTTTAGTCCCTGGCCAGGGAGATACCCACATATGGCACAGCAGACCTCTCTTGTCTCGCCCACTGCTTCCCTCAGCAGTGTATTTCAGTAGATCTGCCTGTTCTGCTCCCCACTCTGTCTCTGGTGAATCACCCACACACCCCCGCTGCCCCTCTGGCCTACACTCTAGCTCTTGTATGCATAAATAAATAAAATAAATCTTAAAAAAAAATTACCCAGACCATGGTTGGAAAACATTTATTTAGCAAAATGTCCTGGAGCCTGCCACTGTGTCCCATGCACTTCCATCTTTGCTGGGTGTGAAATACAGCTGCAACCATTTTTTTCAGAAAGTGGTTTAGCAGATGATAGCCTCTGAAATCTTACTTGCTCAGACTCAGTAACAGGAGGATGCATTGTTTAAAAGGGTTCATCACATTGTTCTCTATGATAGCAAATGCTGTCATCCCTGTGGGGATGTTCACCAACAGGATCACAGTTAGATTCAACATTTCCAGGGAAGGGGCTATTAATAACAAATGCTCGGTCAGTGTGAGTAATGTAAGACTAAGCTTATCTTAAATAGAAAAACATATCAGGGCCTCCCCCGTGGCGCAGTGGGTTGAGCGCCACACTGTGAAGCTGTCCTCAGCCTCTGCAGCATGGGTTCGATTCCCAGCTGGCCAGGAAGATACCCACATGGCACGGCAGACCTCTCCTGCCTCGCCCGCTGCTCCCCTCAGCAGTGTCTTCAGTCTGTCTGCCTATTCTGCTCCCCGCTCTGTCTATGGTGAATTCTCTGACCCTCCTGCGCCTCTGACTGTACCCCAGTTCTTCTATAAATAAATCTTTAAAAAAAAAAAATAAAACATCAGGATCCAAAATTGTTGGATAATGTAACCAGCAGCATGTGAAAATGGCATATGGAGAAATGGAAGGAAATGTCGAGATTGTCTTCATGAAAGCGGAGGGGAGGTTTGAGTGATGTTTTCCCACTTCTTGTGCTCCTTTAGCTGTCTCAAAATGAATGTTACTCCTGACAACTTCAACTAACTAGATACTTCACTACATTTTTGGGTAAGGCATCTCAAAACTGACTTGGGTTCCCGTTACAGTTTGAAAATCTGGACACAGTTGCTGAGTGTCTGTTTTCTTTGGTCAACGGTGATGACATGTTTGCGACCTTTGCTCATATCCAGCAGAAGAGCATTTTGGTGTGGCTGTTCAGTCGCCTGTATCTGTATTCCTTCATCAGTCTTTTTATCTATATGATCCTCAGCCTTTTCATTGCACTTATTACAGATTCCTACGACACCATTAAGGTAAGTAATGATCAATATTTCCTGCCTTTCCAAAACTACCGCAAGTTCTAGATAGATTGGGACATAGGAAAATACGACATTTTTTTACATGCTTCAATAGTTAAGTTTTACTACTTAGATTTTGAGATTTTGTGGAAAAGAAAGTTTTTAGGTGTTGGAAGTTAATTTTAAATACGCATTTAGGATGTTGTCACAGTCAACCAGATGAGGGTGGGTTGTTTGGAGGTGTGGTGGGAAAGACAAAGGAAATGCTAAGGATGAGCTGAGTTTGGTAAATGAAGTATTTGGGCTGTTGGCTCAGTATTGTAGGTGTGCCTACCTGTGTGGCTGCCTGTGTGCCTACCTGTGTACCTACCTGGGACTTAGGCCTTGAGTAGTAAGTTTCAGTGATAAGGGTGAGTACCCCTTATCAGTGTCCAGACACTGGTACACCTACATATGGAGTGATACAGACACATGTATGCTGCAGGTCTCCTTAAATTATGAAAACTAAGGTTTTTGTGGCTGCTTAGTTCCTCCTCCACACCCCGCCCGCCCCACCACTTCCCAAACCACCCCATGGGTTTTGTTTCCTTTCAGACAGGTCCACTGAACTGATTTGTAGTTTAAAGGAAGCTCATGGGGGCCTCCCTGGTGGCCTAGGGGTTAAGTCTCAGCACTACCACCACAACTGCCCATCACAACGGCGGCAGCCTGAGTTCAATCCCCAGCCAGGGACTAACCCACATGGCACAGCAGACCTCTCCTCTCTTGCCTGCTGCTCCCCACTCTGTCTCTGGTGAATCCTCTCACCTACCTGCACCTCTGGTCTACACCCCAGTTCTTCTATACAAAAATAAATAAATAAAATCTTTTTTTTTTTTTTTTTTTATAAGATAGCTTTAAAAAAAAAAAAGGAAGCTCATGGGCCTTGGGTGGTGGTATCCCCACAGCAGATGGTTGTGCTTGGAAAATCCCTTTTCAAGGCCAGCATCTGAGCTACCAAGGATGCTATTTGTGTGCAGTGGTATGTTGTCCTGCTCAGACCAACCCAGAAGCCAGTCTGTTGGAAATACTTCTGAGCGCCTTGTGTGTGTGTGTGGTGGTAGTGGGGAGAGGCGGGTACAGGTATTTATGTGGGAACTGGTGGTCAGCTGTAGCAGCAGGACTGGGTCTGGAGAGAGAAGAGCCACATGCTCTTACCCTGTGGGTTCCTATCTTTCACAAAAATGTGTCCCTGTGAGTGGGTCAAGTCTCAGTGACATGGTGGATGACCTCATGAAGCATGAAGAAATCTGGGGGGGTGTCTCAGTGTCTTTGTGTCTTCTTAGAAGAACCTACTATCTTCTGCTCCATTAAGTGACCAAGTTCTATGACAGCAGAGGAAATAGAGATTTCTTCCCAGCTACAGTGCTGAGACAAACAGCCAAGGATTTTGCATTGGCAGTATGGGGAAGGAAAGGGCTTATCTAGTCTTGTAATCAGCAATGAAACTCAGACTTATGACTCTTTCCTTCATTCCCCTTCTTAACACACTCTTCCTCTGGCCCACTTTGGCTTGTTTTCTAAAGCTTTCCTTTGGATTGTTCACTGTTCCCATGATTGCTCTGGGACTGACATATTGATTCATCATTGTTAATATCAGTTCTTGGATCTGACTTAGCAGTGTGGGAGAGTTTTATTTTAGCAAAGGTGGTATTGGTTTGTTCACAAAGGAGCAATTTCTCATGTTCCACAAATAAGGTAACAACACTGTGTACTTTTTAAAGAAATACCAGAAGAATGGGTTTCCTGAAACAGATCTTCAGAAATTCTTGAAGGAAGAGAGTAGCAAAGAGGAGTATAAGAAAGAGGCCTTGGCCTTCCTGTCCTGCATGTGCTGTCGAAGGTCAGTATTGTGTTTAACCAGGTCTCCATGCTCTGAGGTGAGCTGCTGTGCAGCCTTTACAAAGAGTCTTTCCTAGTTAACCTCTGAAACCAGCTGTTGGAAAGAATCCATCTTTCATTTCTTTCCTCCCACTGAAATTGGCTTTAGAAATGGATTGTTTTTGAAAAACAAGATAGAGAAATATAGGACATGGTAGAAATCTCTTGGGAATATTATGAGACTATTATGAGAGACCATGAATTATTCCCTAAAGTTAAGAGGGTGAACTTGTAAGTGGTCAAGAAAGAGGTCAAAGCTCTTGTTTTTAGAGGTGAAGCTCTGGCCATGTCAAAGGAGTTTTTCCTTCTCACAATTTCCAGTACAAATGACCTTTCTTGAATGGAGCAGAAACCTGCTTATAATGAGGCTGTATGTGTCCTTGATTGGAAATGTCCACCAGCAGCTCTTCATGGACTGACTATACTCTGCTTGCTGTTCCTCAGGACACATAGGAAAATGGCATAGACTTCAGTGGCGAAGCAACCATGTGTGGTTCGGGCTTCAAAATGGGGGTCAAATGAATAAAGTTTTTTTTTTTAATTGTACCCATGTTTGTTTTCATCTTAAGTCAGGGGTGGGGGTTGTTAACTAAAAGTATCCCTACCCATGTTTTTTGAAAAGGATTTTCTAAACCAAATTCCTAAAGGAAGATGGGAGAACATAATTGCTACTTAAAACCACAGGATGTAATTTCTGTTAATCAATTCATACTGTATCCTGGGATTTGAAATGATATGATTGAGCATTTTCAAATAATGTCTGGTAAATATGAAATGAGGTCTTCGGAGAAGAGTTAAGTTCTTAAAATCACATTTCATCCTCTCAGAGCATTAAATTGTTGCCATGGAAGATGGGGTAAAGGGAAATTAATTTTCTAAATAGGCAGCTGCCTCCTAAGAGGCACCTTGCATGAGGAAACTATTTCAAAGTTGCTTTTCTAATATGCAGTTAACTGTAAAGAAAACATAATCATCAGAGAATGTAATTGTGAATTCTGGAAAGTAGCTGACAGGTTTGTGGTGTTTGATATTTTGAGTGTATCATTTGCATCACAAAAATCCCTCAGGGGTTGTTAAATATTTTTTTGTGTGTAGTCATATGGAACAAGTGCAAGGTTTAAGGGGTGGACTAGTTGATAAGATTGGGTCTGAGTTGTGAGTAGCAGGCAGTTGATCCTCAGACTTGCTAATGGTGTGGAGAAGATGCCTGGTGCAAGGAGTGTCTGCCCATCAGGAGGGATGAGAGAATTAAATAGAACAAGAATGTCCTCTAAGGAAACCCAACTGAAGAACTGGGAAGCTGAAGGTTTTAGAAAATGAAGATAGCAAAAACAATTAAAACAGAAGTGGCTGTTACCAAAGATGAGCGTGGGCGAGATTAGCTAGAGCAGTGTGATCTGAATATCCAATCAAAGCCTGGAAGCCAGAGGGGATGGATGGGCCTTGCAGAAAATGAGTGAAGACCAGAGGGCCTGATGAAGGAAATGAACTGTACTATGACCTTGAGAACAAGTGATGACTTTGACCCCTGCCAAAAATTCACTGGACATATTTAAAAATTAGGGACCTACAAGTGGAATAAACTTGAAGGGTGCTATGAGTAGAGAATACATCTTAGAGAAAGACGTCACTGAGGGCACCTAGAACAAATCCTGGTTTCTAGGCCCTCTTCAGTGCCCACACCAGACAGCCCCGCTGAGCACAGCTCTATACTCTCAGCATGGACTAACTGGTCAGTCGTTTTCAAACAAGCAGGCAGCAACCACCCTAGACTGATTCTCCTTCTAGTTGTTCTTCAAGAGTTTGCAGCCTGATCATAGCACATGGTTCTCCTATAAGACCCTGCCAGTTGCTCTCCTAGACCTCTTGGTTACTCCATGTCATCAGGGTGGAGCAAGTGATCTCTGAAACCTCTCCTAGTTCTATTGCAATGAGGTTCCTTGGAAAGATACACTTGGTTGAACAGATGCCAGGTTCACCTCTCTCCTCTACTGCAGCCAAGGAGGAAACTTTGCTCTTTCAGACATTGGGAAGTCTTTGCCAAAAAAGAGATATGGAGGGACCCAGGAGGTGGACAGCTCCTCAAAGTTGCCAAATACTGGTACTCAAACCAAAAATAATGTAAATTGTCCTTATCAATTTTTCTTTCACTTATAAGTTGCTCTCAGCATATCAGTAATCTATCCATGCCTAGAATATCGAGAATCCCTCTACTTCATCTCACAGATTTTTAAATCATTGTTCTCTTTTCTCTTTCTTCTTCCCCACTCTGTTACAGGAAAGGAAGTGATGACCACTCAATGCTTATTAACGAAAATCCTTCTGCAAAAGGCAATTAAATTTCAAACCTTCTTATCCAGCAGCAATGCAGAGGACCCCTTCCAAATAGCTTGGACCAGCACTTGAAAAAATACTGACTTATTTAATTTTGGATTGGGAAAAGGGCTGTCAGTTGGCTGACCACAACTGGACTTCCATAATTCCCTTCAATAAACATGGATGATGAATCATGGACAATAGTCAATTACAGATCATTAGTGCAATACAACAGTGATCGTGATATTCTGTATGAGTCCTTAAATTTATGACACGAAAATGTTGGAATGAAAAAAAAAATCACATTTTTGAGTGTGCAAAACAATGGTATTTAAAACCATGCCTTTAAAGATGTGTTCATCTTCAAATCAGAGTTTGTTTTAAAAGCGATTCTTGCATTAGAAGACATTTGTTAAATCATAGTTTGCACAGAAATGAAGTTGATGGCAATACCAAATTAGAGACTGCAAGCTGGAGAACTATTAAGTAATTTGAAGATCAACAAGAAGACCTCTTGCAGTGGACATTTCCTGGCCTGTTTTCCTGAGGTTCTCTTCTTCGGTATGATATGAAGCGACTCTTGTACAGTCAGCATGATAAACTGAAAACGGTCATTGGACACTTTGTCACCTGTGCTGTTGTTGATTGTACACACATGCCATATGGAAGGACACTGCTATAGCAGTCATTCATTTTAATTGAATTCCACTGTGGTGGGGATTTACTCTGGCCATGCAAGGAAATAGGGTATTTTTTTTCCAAATAAATTTATTTTATCATAACATATGGAGCTACTATTTTTTAGTGTAAAATATCTTCACATCTACCTAGAAATATTCAGATCACAATTCTATTAACTATTTGGTCTCTCAAATGGATTTTCCACTTTCTTAAAAGTCACAAAGGAGATAGCTGGTATATATAGGAGTTAGGCAATAAATATTTGTGATAATGACTTGCAAGATTGTGATCACTTCATGCATAGATTTATTTCATACTTGAGCTATCTTAGGGGTCAACTACTGTAAAGTTATTGATGGAGTAGAATTTGAATTGAGCAGCACCCTCATCAAAGGCTCTCCCGTGTGTGCCTCCCTTTTTCCCTCCCTCTCACCAAGTTCCTGCTAGATTTTCCTTTTTTTAAAAAATTTATTTATTTATACAAGAACTGGGGTACAGTCCAGATGTGCAAGAGGGTGAGAGGATTCACCAGAGGCAGAGCAGGGAACAGAACAGGCAGATGGACCAAAAACACTGCTGAGAGGAGCAGCGGGCGAGACACCAGAGGTCGGCCACGCCATGTGGGTATCTCCCTGGCTTGTTGGGAATTGCACCCATGCTGCAGAGGCTGTGGACAGCTTCACAGCGCTTCCCTAGATTTTCCTTCTTGTGCCCACCCCCCTTCTTGTCCCCACACTTCATGTGCCTGCACCAAATCCAGGCCTGGAAAATCATCCAGTTAATACCATTACAGTTTGTAAATGAGTGACTTGTGTCTACACACAGAATACTTTGCTAAAATTATCATTTTCATTAACTTCATTTCTTAATTTAATTGGTGCTTCAACAGTCATGTGCATAACTCCAGAATCAGGTATGCAATTAGGGCTCTTATTCACTTCTGCCTAGTCCCCCAGTGCTTAAGTTTGTCTCTGAATAGAATTGCTATTAAAGCATTTTGCATGCCCTGCAGCTGTGACTACCACTGGAAAAGAAGATTAATGATGGTCTTCCACACTCATGTTTTTTTTTTTATTGGTTTTCACGTTCATTTTATTTCTTTTTCCTCTAGCCGACAAAGCACTGTCAGGAAGAAAGATTCTGTTCCAAGGTTACCCACATACCATGTATCTGTGGAAACATTGTTTTATCACATTTTAATAATTTCAAACCATTATCATTTTACCAACTGCATGATCTGTTTAGATTTTATTGAACATTGTTGTTCTTATAACTGTTAATAGACTTGCCTGGGACACCTGTTTTCTCTCCTATCCTTGGTCTCTACTCGGGAAGTTCAGACTCATCCATTCTGTCTATTGGTTTCATGCTGGAATGTCCAACTCATCTAGAATATGCCTCCTTGAGTTACAGCGACACCCTCAAAGCCAGATGCAAAACCCTTAAGCTGGTTGGCTTGGGACAGTAGAAAAGAGCATGCGTTTAGGAGACATCTCCACAGAATTGAGTCAAAATCCCAGCTTACCTGCAGCTCTATGGTACAGAGTTTTTGGTACAAGTTACTGTGTACTTGCAAGTGATGATACTAAACCTCAAAAAACTGGGATTTAAGTTACATAACTCATGCAGATTCTGGCATTGATTGAAACCTGAGCTGTTCTTTCATTTTGGTTTTCTGTGAAGTTTGTAAATAGGTTCCATGGGGCCAGGAATTGAAAAGGTGAAGACCTTTAGTCTGCAGTCTGTCTGCACTAAGAGGGCAGACAGACTGTGTCTCCTTGGACAGCTCGCACTGGGCCTTGAGTTTCTTATCTATAAAATGGGTATTGAGAGGATTAAATATTGGAAAGTGTGCACCAGGAAAGTCATGAGTGTTCCCTGATATTAGGTGATCAAAAAGCTTTTATTTTATGGCCTCCAAGTGTGGAGACCTCGCACTGGGCCAGCCAGGGAGATCTTTATTTTGTAGTGAGTTTTCCCAAGCACTTGGTGGATTCTTTTCCTGTTTGGACTTTCAGTATGCAAACGTCACACATGCAACCCTGTCCTTGAGGCAATGATCAATTCAGGCAGGGCTGATATCAAAAGTTTACCTTTAACTGAGGTCGACTGGCCTGGGTAGCAGCCTAAATGCCCTGCCATTTGGAGAAGTCGTCAGTCCTGATGGGAGGATAATGGTCCCCAAGATGCACAAACTGTCACAGTCCCCAGTCCTTCACTCTGGGCCCTCTCTCCCTATTAGGAACCCACTGCCTCCACCAAATGTGTCAGAATGTGCAAAGTAAGTGTCATCTTGCTTCTTGCCCATTGCTAATCCAAAGTGGCAAGTGCAGAAGGGTGAAAGAAGGTATTTAGGAAAAACTCTTCAGGAGAGTCCAGTCACTACCTCCAACACCTGCTGAGGCCATTATGGCAACAGTGCTGGGCGGGTGAACTGCACAGTGGAGGCCTGGGCTCAAATGAAGCAGTACAGACTTCTGACCTAGAGGCACATACCAGTCACCTTCTAGTGCCTGAGGGCTTCCCTGTAAAGTTAAACTGTCCCGGGGGCACCGGTCACTGTTTCCAAGTTGCATATGCTTTTTGGCTGTTGGTCTCCTCACCTTTCCTCTCATGTCTTGCTCCCCAGCAATGAAGAGCTCATTTTCTGACTTTCCATTTAATGTTTGCTCCAGAGATACTGTTTAAAGTGGTTCATCCTTTAAACTCAAGTATGTTTGTCCCCTTGGCATGTGACCTCCAGCCTTACTCCATGAAGCTCTTGGCTCCTGCTACACATGCTAGACTTTCAAGCACTGCTCTCGGCAGCCATCAGCTTTCGTAGGAAGGGCCTACCTTTGAAGGGGAACCTTTAGACTTGTTGGACATGCTTTGTAGTGGAGTAATAACATATTAGCATGAAAAAGACTTCAAGGTGAACCAGAACCTGGAGAAAAGACATTTATGATAGTAGGGAAAACTTTACCTCTTGGCAGTTCTACCGTGGGCTCTTTGACAGCAAATGCTGCTGCAAATTCGTGAGTCAAAATGATGGTCAATGTTTCTCTAGGCATCTGTCTCTGCCAGAGGGCCAGAGTGAATGAAAAGCTAAATGAGTTACATAGGAACATTTCTACACCAACTTACATAACAAGGACAGTAAAATTCTGACTTCTTAAAGACCCTTGGGAGCTATTGGCAGTGGTGAATGGGAGAGACAATTTATTAGCATGATGTATGTTTCTTAGTTTCTAATGATACATAAATTATCCCATGAGCCATGATACATATGGCTTAAAGAGAATTTTAAATGAAAGCATTTTTTTTTCCCAGCAACACTAATTGCCTAGCAGCAGTAAATTACTCACCCCCTGCTGCCTGTGGGCCATGGTCATTACTCTCTCCTTGAAGTTGAGTGGATGTCCCCCAAGAGGAATGTTTTCTCTGACAAAGTGAATTTACATCCACCCTTGTGAGCATGCCATGCTAGGTCTACAGAGGAGCATGTATTAATAACACCTTTTGGACCCAGCACAGAGCATTTGTGCCATCTTGCTACCAATGATAATAGAACATCCAGTTGGGTCTTAGTAATAGGTTGCTTTGGGGGAAAAATCTGGAAGCTGCTATCAATAGTTAATCTTCCCCAGCAGGGGAGTTTGAGGGGTAGCCTTCACTGTAAGCATGGAAGTTTCCTAGGTGACAAGTTAAGCAAGATAAGCACCACTGATTTTGGGACAACACTAGATACCGACATGACGTAAGGAAGGAAAATGAAGATGCTCATGAACACCATTAACTCAATGAACATTTGTTGATTTCCAATACTGTGCTAGGTACAAAGGGTGCATGACATGCTTCCTGCCCTCAAGAAGTGCCCAGTGGGGGAGACAACTATGGAAGAAACAAGGATAATGCAAGATGCCTGAGCTCCTATCTGAAAGCAGAGTGGTGGTAGCTCCTGCCTCCCTGAACACTAAATTAAGGCCTCCTGAGGAGAACTAGACAATGTGACAACTGAGAATTGAACTATACATTGTGTTTGACCATGTGGTCAGGTGCGGGGTAGGAGAAGGACTTTCTGGATAAAGAAAAGAGTGTGGTATCTGAGAGAGAAGCCAATCAGTTAGGAAAATGACACTCTCAGGTGGTCAGAATATAGGTGATCTATTTTATCACAGGGGGATGATAGATGATAAGACTAGAGGAGTGACAAGGCATGGCCCAGGGACAGTTACCAGTGGGGGTTGGGGGAGAGCAAAGGGAATTCACACGTAGGAGCTACAGGGCCAGACAAGGACTGGGGTAAATTGGCATGAGTGGGGACTGCAACCTTCCAGATTTAAGACAGAGAAAGAGAGAGGGGAGAGTGAAGTAGTTGCCACTGCCTGTAATTTAAAAGAATAGCAAATACATGACAAATTTTCTTGAAACCTGTGTCCCTAAGGAATATATACCAGATTTCATATGTGTATTTTACCAATATATGTTTTCTCTTTCTCAAAAGATTTTTATGCTAAATATCCTGTCATTTTCATAGGACTTACGCTTTTGGATTATGCATTTTGAGATGAGGATCTCCTTTTGTAACTTCTATTACTGAAAAATATGTGACTATTTTAATACACACACACACACACACACACACATATCTTTAAATGGCACAGCAAAAGGGAATGCAATTCCACAAGTGCACGGCCTCAAGAGGAAGCACATTGTGATAAATTCCTTCATTAGAAAGGTTATCTTGGGGCCTCCCTGGTGGTGTAGGTGTTAAGTCTCAGTGCTATCACAGCTGTGGTCTGAGTTCGATCCCCAGCCAGGAAGCTAACCTACACATGGCACAGCAGACCTCTCCTGTCTCACCCGCTGCTCCCCTTAGCAGTGTATTTCAGTCAACCTACCTGTTCTGTTCCCCACTCTGTCTCTAGTGAATCCTCTCACCCTCCCTCTGCACCTCTGGCCTATACCCCAGTTCTTCTATGCATAAATAAATAAATAAATATTTAAAAAAAAGAAAAGAAAGGTTATCTTTTTTCTCACTGATATCACAGGCTAAATTATATATCATGTCATCAAATACAGTTGAGGCAATAGAATAAGTGTAGG